GGGATAAATCTTCTTCAGGGCATCTGCCGCCCGCGTTGCTTTGAATTTGCCGCCTTCCAAGCAGTCCTCGAACTCGAACAAGGGCTGCCGCACGGGATTCGAATACGATACGCGACCGTAGTCCACAAACGTGATCTTCCGGACACCCCAGCCCATGAGATTTCTGGAAACGTAGCTTCCTAGCGTGCCGGCACCTAACAACAGACACTTGGTGGATTTGATGGTGTCCAAGTCCAGGTTCGGCGAAATCCTCCATTTCATGAGTTTGAGGTTCAGGTCCACGGATTGGTCGGCAAGCCGTGTCGGGTCCATGTACTCCCCAAGGTTGGCAATTCTGGCTCGTAGCTTGCCCTCTCCGTCTCGCTCCCAGCCTGTGACCTTGGGCATTTCAGCGACTGCAAGTGGCTCAACTGGGTCCATCTCCAACGGCAGGATGATGCTTCTCGCCGCATGCCTACTAGATCTGATATCGCGGTAACACAGAATCTGGACCTTTGTCTGCCGGAACCGCTGCCGAACAAGCCAAAGCAGGTTTCGCAGTGGCCATGACGGGTTCTCGGGGTACGTCGATGGGTCGACAAACGAAACGTATCGGTCCTCCTCAGCAACGTCGTCAAAGAAGCCGTTCTCAAAGTCTCCGAGGTTGGCAACCTCCCATACATAGCCAAACGTATCGTTGAGGTCGTGGAGATCGCTATTCGCGTCCTTATCCAAATCGCTAACATCCACGCCTCTGGCCTTCTTCGCGAGGAAGAATCCGTTCTGCCTCTTGTCGCGGTTGGCTTGCCACGTGCCCACTCGATCGACCAGCGCCGTACTCTCCTTAGGATCGAGGCGACCGATCGGTCCTGTCCGCTTCCACTGAGGGTCTGAGTGCAGTGCTGGGAACGCAAACCAGTATGTGAACTTGTACTTCTTCAAATCGGCGTACGAGAGGATCGCGAAGGAGGAGAGGAGGGACGGTACGGAGTAGATGGTGCCGTCGTTGATGGCGTCCCAAACCTGAAAGCATGATCGTCAGAACTCGCTCAGATACTCATGAAACTACGACGCAACCTCACATGTCTCGCTGCCATTTTGAGCATGGCTTGCTTGTCCGTATTCTTGAAGTCTTCGATCGTATTGACGTTCTTGATCCAGCCCTCGCCGCGGACATGCTCATCGTTGGGCCTGCACTCCACGTCAGTCCCAAATTGATCTACGTGGGGTAGACCCTGGAGCTCTATGGGGGCGTCTTACTGGTCACTGGTGAGGGCATTCCCAAGGATGGACATCTTGCAGCTCTGGCCTGGCTCAACAGGCAGGGTAGTGTACTGGCCCAGCACACGGCGCGCCGAGTCGTCTAGCTTATCATGTTCGAGCTTTGAGGAGAAGAGGGCCGCGTAGAACGGAAGCTCGATCTCGGATGAGAAGGGCGCATATTGAATTGTTGCCATGGTGGGCGAGCTGTGGTGGGCGCGCACTTTTGGGCGCTCGGGTGGGAAACGAGGACAGTCGTTGTGATGCTATGCGCCGGAACTCGGTATTTGGGTTATGCTACGATATCGACACCGGGAGAATGTCCTAAATGCTGGATATGCTTCGGGGATTTGGGTATGTAGGAGCGCAAACCGAAAGCAGATCGTAGGTTGGGTCGAAATGACTCAAAAGCGTCGAGAGCTTGCAATATGACGGAACAGGCAGGTCGCACTTCCGACTGGTCTCCGGACAAAGCGGAGGGGCCCGGGCGGTATCGCTGTACCTGAGGGATGCTTGGAAATTCAAGGCTGAAAAGAGTCACGAGGACAGGCAGTCAAGCGGCGACTTGTTGTAGTTAGCGAGTCACAAGAACAAGGCTGGTGAGAGCTTCCTTTGAGGGTGAGATGGTTGTCTGACAGATGAGATAGGGCAAACACCTTGGGCAGGTGCCAGTTCGGGTAGCTTCTCTCCCGCCAGGCTGCCCACCTGGACGACCAAAGGTGGGGGACGGGAGCTCTGTGCCCACGGGATGATTGTGTCATGCTCTGCAGGTCCCGCCGGCTAAACGTCGGAGTAACGCAACCCGACGAGCGCGGGGGACACCCAATTGATCGGGCCCGAGCTGCAAAAACGGCTTTACGCGTGGGGACGCGTTCATGCAAAGAATTCAGATCGCGACTTTTCCATTGGACACTTGTTGCCGGGTTGATGTGAAGAGCTTGCGCAACCGGTAGACCTGCATATCGGAGCTTGAAGATCTACGGATGGGTGCAGAATCAAACGGCTTTGCTCATCCAACTAGTCTCCCAAACAAATCCGGTCTGTCACGTTACCCTAGCTAAGATGCTCATTGGAATTTGCGGTGGTAAGTCGCACCCCTGAGTCAAACTCAACCCACTCAGCAATTGAAAACATCATTCTGACAAATCACAAGGTATTTGTGCCGGTAAGAAGACCGTTGCTCAATACCTGGTCGAACATCATGGCTTCAGATTGCTCCGCTTGACGGACCCTACCGCAACTCCACTCCGGGGAGAGGCTCCGGTCTCCAAACCTGCCCCGGCGCCGGAGCCCCAGCCGGAGCCGGAGCGAGGTTTCTCTCAGTTCACCAACGGCAACAATGCCGCGGGCTCCCAGCAGCAGTTCCCTTCAAAGAACAAGAAGAAGAAGAACAAAGGAGCAGGGTCAGGACCGTTGGCGGGCTTATGCTTCAACTGCAACGAGAAAGGTCACGCCAAGGCCGAATGCCCTCACCCTCAACGGGCCCCCGACGAGAGCACAGATACCGCCGTGGCCATCAGCAACAACGCAGACAGAGAGCCAAAACAACAACAGAAATCCGCAGTCACTCCCGCTCCTCTTACCATCTTGAGCGGACAACCGCGTACCAACGGAGTCCATTCTCACTACCCCAATGAGCTCGTCTTCTCCTCCGCCAACGACCTATTGGAATACGTCACGACCCGTTGGCAATCACGTTTCGTCACCACAGACGTCCACAACGAAGCCATCCTCGACGTCCTCCACAGACGCCCCTTCTTCATGCTCATCTCCGTCGACGCTCCCTTGACAGTCCGCCACGCCCGCTTTCGCGCCCTACACAACCCCCATTGCACCCTCGAGTCCTTCGCCCTCGCCTCGGACACCCACCTCTACGACCCAAAACAAGGCCTGCAACCGCTCATCTCCCGCGCGACCGTCCGCCTCCTCAACACCTCCTCCTCCATCGCGCACCTCTACGCTACCCTCGGAAAGCTCGACCTCGCCAACCCGGTCCGGCTCCGGCCCACCTGGGACGCTTATTTCATGTCCCTGGCCGAGCTCGCCTCCCTGCGCTCAAATTGCATGAAGCGCCGCGTCGGGGCCGTCCTCGTCGGGCGCGAGAAACGCGTCATCTCCACCGGCTATAACGGCACGCCCCGCGGCCTGCAGAACTGCTCCGACGGCGGCTGCTCCCGCTGCAACTCGGGTAATTCCTCTGGCGTCGGCCTGGCTACGTGCCTGTGCATCCACGCCGAGGAGAATGCCCTGCTGGAGGCCGGCCGCGAGCGCATCCGCGAGGGCGCCGTGCTGTACTGCGATACCTGCCCTTGTCTGACGTGCAGCATCAAGATCTGCCAGGTCGGTATCGATGAGGTTGTGTATGCTCACGGGTACAGCATGGATACGGAGACAGCGGCGGTGTTCCGGCAAGCAGGCGTCAAGCTGAGGCAATACGTTCCGGTAGGCTTCCCCGAGTGATACTTGGCATTGTTGATACAATACTGACAAATTTTCAGCCTGCCAACGGACTGATTCATCTTGAAAATTTAGAAAAGATGGAGTTGTACTAGACCATCGTCTTATAGGGGGCTCATAGAGAACCTTGATGGCTTAGACGGGTTTAGAGTAGCACTGTCATTTCATCCACTTGCAAAGCGTTGGGCATCTTCGGATCAAAACAGTTTACTATGAGCGTATGAACATAACCTCATAATTAAGGCCCTTTTCCAATATGCATTTCCTCATGTCATGCTGTATATAGATTTGCTACCTCAGACGAAATTGGCTGAACCTACGTTAATGCTAGAACCTGCGTGACGATTCCAGTAACTGCCTTGCCTTGAACAACTTCCAATTGCCGACCAACACTGGTCATTCAACGCCTAGCGGCATGCAACGCATTTCGACCATGCCGATATGCCGACCTTCAATCGGCAACCGGCAACTGTCACCCCCAAATCCCTCATTCAATCTGACGATTACGGATTCGGCGAGGGCATAAGTGGATCCCTGGAGAGAGAGTCGTGCAACAGCACAACCCAGGCTTGGCACCCTCACACAAACGTCGCACCACGAGAGTTCCGTCAGAAACCTGTCTTGTTTCACCACAGCTTCCCAGGTACTGTGTCGTTGGCCCCCCGACACACAATCTCTGGTCTCATCCCACATCTTCCCCTTCGGTCTCTTTAGGGGGGCCACGAGGGGCCCGGGGGGGGGACTGAGTGTGTGGACAGTGGACATGAGGGGGGGGATTGACAGGGCCCGCGTAGCTTCAGTGACCCCCGTCCGAACAACGAATTCTGAAGGATGTCAGTGGGTTTGAGAGTTCTGTAAAAGGTCGCTCGCCATCCATGAGACGAAGATCTGACAGGTCGAGAGCACCGCGACGCAGGCAGTCAGAGTTTTTTTGGCCGCGTTGCCCGTCTTGCGCAGTTGTGCACAGTGACCTTGCTCCCCTTCCCCGCGGCGGGCATGCCTGGACCATTTTCTTCCCCAGGGCTGCAGGCTGCAGCGCCGCAGGGCCTGTCCCTTCGGGGGGTTGACCGTTGGTCAAAACATGTGAAACGGACTGTTGCGGTTATACTTTTGACACTGACGCTGGTTTCCCAACAGTGTCGAATTCGTCATCTGGCAAAGTTCAGATGTTCGCTTGAACGGCATGTGGGCGACCGCACGCCTCTCGAAAATCTCCCGCTTCTGTGAATGGTATATAGCCAAGTCAATGTTCGTGCGTTTGCTTTGGTGTTTCTGGTGTACGTTTTTTCCCATCACAGATCTGCTTCTATTTCAATTCAGTTAATATTACCATCGACTTATAATACCATCATCCACAACACGTTTATTCAAGATGCAGCTTCAATCATTCTTCGCTGTCGGCCTGGTCGCCGTTACTGGTGTGAACTCTCTCGGACTTAGCTTCTCAGGCGTAGCCCTCACCATGGTAAGCAGTCTCAAAATCCTTCCGCAATCCATGCTGCGCATCGTTCTCTCCTGCAGTGCCTTCCGACATCTGAGTCGTGCCGCCGCTAACGCCATGTCCCACAGGCTCCCGTTCTCGCCCGGGCGGCGGTAGCTGACTTGCCCGATATCGTCATCAAGAGACAAGAGCTCTCAAACGCGGACCTCGTGGCGGCCGACCTGGAAGAGGCAGGTGATCTCGAGAGACGCGTCTCCACTGAGCCTGAGGATGAGGAGGAGCCCGTGGAGGTCGTGGCCAAGAGAGGCGAGCAGGCCGCCGAGGAGTTCTTTGCTGAGGATTTGGGAAGTGATGCGGATGAGTAAGAGATTTGATGTAAGAACTCCATGAGATTACGGATTAATATGAAAACAAATTTCCATCCACGGCGTTGGGCAATAAGCGATATCAGCGATGAGGCTAGGCGTTGCGTGTCTTGCATCCGCCAAACTCGGCTTGGCAGTGGATTTTCCCGACAATTCGGTCTTCATGTAAGGCTTTCAGAGCATAGTGAGAAGCCATTGCAGATACATAGCCCGAGTTGCTAGGGACATCGCTGAACCAAGCGGGCGAGCAAACTCAACTACCATCCGGGCTCGTGTCAGATTGTTTTTCATTTGGTTGTCTGTTCAGATGTTTAACCTGCAGTCCTAAGCTTGAGTCAAAGGCATGTCGTTCACTTACGTGTCGGCCGTGAATTTCTTCGGTCTGCCTTTCGGCGTGCTACCTTAAAGGTTTGATCTTTATTATATCGTCGAATCGTCGACGCGACCGCCCCGAGCGAGCAGCCGAAAATCTCTGCGACATTGCGATAGCTTCGGCCACCTAGAACAAGGGCAATAATTGCCACCCGTTCATGTTCTTTGAGTTCGAAGCCGGAACTCCGTTCGCCTCGAAGTCGAGCTGCAAAATCGCGCAAGTCGGCATCAGCGTTCATTTGAATAATTAAGGGGGTAAGAGCTCAGATGAGGTGTATGGAGGAAGACGCGTCGGGAGTGCAAATGGTGCGCGGGTTGTTCTCAGACTTTTGTGTGGCTCCACTGTAGCAGTACGGCGTTTGCACTACTGGAAGGAACACTTTGTTAATTCTGCCCGAATGGCCCAACGTCGTCGTGGAGTTTTTAGCAACCTCGATTTACCCCAACTTTTATCAGAAAAAAGACCTGCTTCTTGAAGTCCGCAAATCCTATCAGGACTGGGGTTTCAATCACATATTTGCTTCCTAAAAGGGAGATGTTACTGAAGCTTTGTACAAGTCTTTAGACCGTCTTTCGGAGGAACACGCAGTCTTGCTGCGTGAGACCGGTGTATCAGTGTCACAGAAGCAACCAATTGAATCGGAATGGCTACTCAATTCCTTGACATGTAAGTTAGACTCGAATTCCAGAGTCGTCGCGAAAAGAGGCCTACCTCGTAATCTCATTCACCACCGTCTAGGGCGAAAGCTCATCTTTGCGCTCAAGCTAGATTATGGCCAGAATGACTTCAGTAGCTTCTCAATTCATTAAGAAACTATCCGCTGATGCATCATTTGCCTAGATGTGAGCATGGGATGATGTCGTAAACTTATTGAAACCGGTAGCAGCCGCTTCGCCTAGTACCGGGGCGGCAAGCGTGATGATGTGAAGAGCAGGTGAGGAAATCTGAGTATACATGGCTACTTTTCAAACGAGTGAGTAGGATTATGTGTCTAATTTCAAGCCTGAATGGCCCAAGAAACTCCTCTCGATTGCACTCCAACATCGTGTCGGTACTCACTCTGTCAGCAGCCACCTGATGTACGGCGTCTCTATGTTTGACATCTCAGTATCATGTAGAATAGAGCCAATGAACACTTTTTCTAAATAAGACACAAGCCATTCTGATATATTTACTCACGGGTATATACGTGAATACTATCCACGTCAAACCTTAACTGACAAAGTTCGAACTACTTTGCTAGATACCTCATAGGGAATGAATAGAGGGAATCACAACCTAGCATGGTCTTCAGATTCGTATTCACTAAGTTCACACCGGCTTGGAACTGTCAGCCAAGCCAGTGGTCAACGAACCAAACCGCGCGGTCCATGGACAGCGCGGGATGGATGACGTCTATGCAGACTCGTAGATTATGCCCCGTACTTAAGTCGTACAGCAGCCCGTCAACAAAGACTCCAGCTTTTCGACGGGCATCTGAGCTACCCGAATGATAAAGGTTCGAGAGTCCACATGACGATTCGCGCGGGGCCCCTGACTGATAGGAATCGGAATTCGCGGCTGCCGTCTTGGGTTCATGGTGATGACTCCTGAGGGTGAAGCACTTTGTTTCTTCAGCGGTCCTGAACCAGCATGAAATTAGGTTGCAGGAGCTGATGGAAGTGCTCGGCGTGCTTGTCTACAGCCCGAGTAAGCAGCCCCGACGCAGACTGAAAAACAATCAACGAGTCTACCTGAGTAGTTGCCATATTCGAGAAGGCTTTGATGACGGATCATGCGACTAGAGAGGACTTGGTTCGGGTTTTTTTTGGCTAATTCCTCCAGTGACCTTCCAAATATGACACCTTAACTTAGTACCTGTACGGGGAGGGTTTGATATAAAGAATTTCCAGCTATGCTACCAGGTTGAAGAGGGCCTGGGTATGAATTCTCGTGAATGAAGGCGCATTTCATCACTCTCGTGTTTCACCTTGAATCTTGCAGTCGGACGGTCTGCGAGCTGTCGCACGACCACGATGTCCACTAGAGACTTAGTCAAAGTATCATTATCTGGTTCACATGGCACCCTTGGAGTCTTTACTGCAACTGCATGTTTTCAGCCGCAGAGACCACGTCCTTCCGGTGTCAGTCATGAAAAAGACGTGTTGTAATAAGGTCGAGTCTATCATGTCTGATATCAGGCACGCGGATATTGCCAAGATCCGGGCTCCTCTATGGTGTAACTAACCCGCAGCATAATACGTCGTCAACTCTCGATAACATGAGACCCAAGCCCACACCATGACTTTCACGTCATGCTATAGATATAGTCTCACCTCCAGCAGAAGTCTCGGTATTTCTGCAGTAGTGCCGTCGCCTACATCGAATACTCAATCAATCAACCAAACCCCCCTCACTGACTATCACCACCACCAACACTCACCATGGGTCTCAAAATCGCCATCGTCGGCGGCAGCATAGCCGGCCTCACTCTAGCAAACATGCTCGAGAAGTTCGACGGCTTGGACTACACCCTCCTCGAAGCCTACCCCTCCATCGCGCCCCAAGTCGGCGCCAGCATTGGCCTCCTCCCCAACGGCCTGCGCATCCTCGAGCAACTCGGGTGCTATCAGCGTATCCGCGAGCTGGCGGAGGACTGCAATCACCGCATGAACTGTAGAGAAGTCGGTGGGCGGCTGCTGTACTGTTCAGGGCTCGTCACAATCTCTGAGCGTTTGGAAGAAGAGTAAGTCTGTCCCTCTTCAGATAGTCGTTCTCAGATCCGAGGGGCTCATATTGATACTTGCCTCAGAACTGGGTACCCGTGTGTATAGCTAGATAGACAAATGCTCCTCCAGACTCTATACGATAATCTCAAGCAAAGGTAGAATGTCCTCCCGAACAAATGTGTCATCGACGTCGAGACAACTGAGTCCGGAGTGGCGGCCCACACTAGAGACGCAGCAACATACACCGGCGACATCCTCGTCGGCGCAGACGGAGTCCACAGCATCATCAGGGAAGAAATGTGGTGTATAGATATCCAGACCGGACATCTTTCGACAGGAAGATACCAGTAAGTCACCGTACACAAAACCACCCGCCCACGCTGCCCCCCTTCAGCGCAAGATCCAGAAAAGCTAGATCTTTCCAGACTAAATCCCACCCCGCAGAAATCCAATCCTCCTTAAAATGCATCTTCGGCATCTCCCACCAACCATCAACTTTTTCCCCAGGCACGAGCCACCACACAGCATTCTCCCGCGGCCGAGGCTACGTCGCCATCTCAGCCCCGCGAAACCGCGTCTACTGGCTCATGTTCGTCGCGCTTGGTAAGACTTACCACGGCAGCGCCGATATCCCGCGCTTCAGCAAGCTTGACGAGGCTGCGCTGGTGGCGGCGCTTGTCTTCTTGGAGGAGCATGTGTTTTCGAAGTGGCATTGTGGAAGGATTGTACTTGTTGGGGACTCGGCTCACAAGGTACTATCACTATCGTGAACCCGACACCCTTTCCTTTGCTTCCTCTGCAACTCTGCGGGGCAGCCCCATGGACCTCGTTATGATACTAACATGTATGAATCCAGGTCCATCCCATAACAGCCCAAGGCGGCAATGGTGCACTCGAATCGAATCAGCAGCACACCTACTCAACGCCCTGACCAAGCTCCAACTCTCCACCCACTCGCCCGACTCCCCTCCTCTGACGGAAGAAATAATCGAAGCAGCCCTCTCTACCCTCCACGCCTCCATATCCGCACTCGCAGAGAAAATAATGCTCTCCGGCCGCCGCACCGGTTCACTCCTCTGCCTCGATTTCCCCTTTCCAAAGTACCTCTTTCGATGGGTGGTCCTCTAACTCGGAGACGACATCTTTCTAAAGGAGATGCTGGCTTACTCGGTCTCTGGGCCGCGAGTGGAAGGGTTGCCTGTCGTGGAGAGGGCGCATAAGACGCCTTTCAATGATGGGGTGCCTTCGGGAGGGGGAACAAACCCATGGGGGCAGAAGGCGTGGAGTAATGGCATTTGGGTCATGAGTGCTGTTTGGGTTGCGGCGGGGGGGTTGGCGGTGTATGCTGTGAGAGACGCTGGACGGTTGGGTTTCAGTTTGAAATGAACATCACCTTGCAGATTTTCTCATGATAGGTACTTTGAATTCTCTAGAGCTATTCGTTCACTCATTTCACCGCTGTGAGTCCCGCCCCGAAACACGACTTACCACAACACTAACGAAATTCGTAAACCTGTTACAACGAACTGGCAAAGCATGGATATGATACACATGCTTCACATAGAAACCACCCAGCCTCAGATAACTTGATTTAAGGTAGAGTCACTCTCCATGATAATCTTGAGCCATCTGTCAAAGTTGACGCAGACGCCTAACTCAGGAGTGAGAAAAGATTACAAAAAGAAAGGAATGACGTTGAACTTTCCCAAACCCGGCACTCCACCGAACCCCGATTTACCCCGCACAATCGGTGGAGGGCCGCGATAAACCCCCCACCAACCCCCGCCAAGCTCCGAAATCAACATTGGCAGCATCTTGGCGGGAACCCCCCGCCCGCAACCATCCCCGTCCCCCTCCGTCTCCGTCTTCATGCCATCGCTCGTCTCGGGAATCCGCAGGACCGCAGCAGACAAGATCTCTTCATCCATCACTGCAACCCATCTACTCCCTTCCGTTGCAGCTGTCGCCTTCCGCTGTCAAGATCCAACCCAGCCGCGCCAAGCCGGCACTCAGCCGTAGACCCAGATCGCAGACAATCACACCACCGCGCGCCACAACCACACCAAAGCTGCCCAACGACCGAAGCTGACATAAGTCCAGAAACCCCGAGTCTTGGGGGAATTACCAGATTGGGGGCGATGCGAGCTGAGGTCACGCCACTATCCATCTCATGCTCCGCCCTTACCGCAGCTCTCGGCACTGGGACTTTGAGGGTTGTGCCTAACATTACTCTAATCACCTTAGTCACCTTGAGTGCTCATGGTCGCATGCTGCTTGTGTCCACTACCTCCGGTCAACTCCTGCAGTGCTCCCACTTTCCGCTGATAGCCCGCCCGAAGTTCTTTGTTCTACTTCCAACTCATCGCGCAGGGAAATATTGCTTACTGCATTACATGCACATTACGACATAGGGCTGAAAGTGTGTGCACAAGCGGAAAATTCCATTATTCAACTTGAAATTTGATGTAAATAAGAATTAGGCATATTTTTTGTAGAAAAGTCCGGGCAAATGATGTTGCAGCCCTGCTCGCCCCCTTCTATGCATGTTTTCAACCCATGTACAAGAAATTAGACCAATCGATGGAGCGGAGCGGACAAAATAGGTATCAGCAACCGGACAACTCCAATCCATGCATAAGGAAAAACACCAATGAAATGCCTGCGCCTGCTGAAAGTAGATGTTTTCCTCCCATATCCTTGCTTCGTAAGTCGATCATTAATTAGTGCGCGTGCGTGCAAAGTGCGTGTGAGGCCCGGAAGTCCGCTGCGAGGAGATGGTGTATCTGTCATGCGCGCCTGTGGCCTATGGTAGGGTCAGAGAAGCCCGAATTCCGCGCCGCACCAAATCCTTGCAATGATGAAGGGTTGAGTGACCGCACGGAAATCGAGTCGCAGCCCGAGAAAAGGCCAATAAAAGTATAATGACGTTGGAGGCTGAGGCGCCAGACTGGCTTGGTGCTCTCGTGTTGACAGGCCACCACATCGCAGTCGTCCCTCTCAGCAATTGGACGCCACAACTGCTGTCTGTGTTCTCAGCCAGCCCGAGGCGACGTTCTTCTTACAATCCAGAATCATGCTTGGGCCACACTGCGGTGGGCTCATACTTCCTCCAAGCATCGCAAGTTGGTTTGATCGATGCCAGATCGAGCGTCGAAGCGATTTCGCTCTTCCGCTCGAGAAATTGAACACTGAGACCCATGCTCACATGCCAAGCGATGTGGCAATGCATAAGCCAGGCGCCTGGGTTGTCCGTCTTGAATGCGATCACCATCCAGCCAGCGCCAGGGAGTTGTGCAACGTCTCTGCGGGTGGGGTTCTCAAAGTTGAGTCCCTCTGAGCCGCTGAATGTACCGCTGCCAGTGCCGAGCAGCAAGAAGTCGTGGCCGTGGAGATGGATGGGATGCGGCAGAATACCCGGGTTCTCGATCACCCACCAAGTCCAGTCATTGGCCTCGGGGATCTCGATGATGTTGGCACGTTCCGGCCAGGAGTTGTTGCCCTCGGCAACGTATTCCAGAGTCGGCTTATCCCACTGAATGTCAATGTCGTTACCATTGACCTTCCAACGATAGACGGCTGCGCCGTTGATCGTCGGCGTTGCCAGTTCAATGTCTAGCGTCTTGCTCGGGTCAAACTTGTCTGAGGGAGCCGTTCGGGAAAGCACAGGAGTGAATCCGGTGGTATCAGCACACCCCAAGTTGGCGGGAGGTGTGCCTTGGTCGACGGGCAGTCTATCCGGAGATCCATCGTAGAAGAAGATGGAAGCTGGGTGAGGGTTATGCGACTCGCCGCAAAGACCACCGCCTCCGAGAGTCGCGTTGAACCAATAGTTCTCAATTTCCTTGTTTGCTTCAATGATCACATCGTACCGCTGGCCGACAGTCATGAATAGGCTGTCCTTGGTGACAGGCTTGACAGGAACAAGATCGGTAGCAATGACTGTGAAGCTGTGGCCCACGAGGGAGACGGTGAAAGTGTTGTCGACGGAGGTGTTGATGAGTCTGAGACGGTGCTTCTTGCCCGGGGTCAGCCTCGTCTTCTGGTACTGACCGCCGGCGCCGAGTGGGTTGATGTTTTTGCCGTTGAAGAGAATGTTGTCGCTGGGCGGCGGGCGGGCTGGCACAAGCTCGGCCTGACGCAGCAGGTTGTCTGCAGTTCCGTAGTACCAATCGCTGATAACAAATGGGCCGAGGTCAATGTCGTAGTCAGCGGACGCCGGTCCGTTGATCTGGATGGCGCCTGCAACGCCGTTGCCGTACTGGGCGGAAAAGTGGCTGTGATACCTGAGGCGGACGCATTAGTCGGTGGGTCCAGGTCTGCAACAACAAAGAAGCTACCATACCATGATGTACCGTACTGAGTCAACTGGAAAGAGTACGTCTTGCTTTGTCCAGGAGGAATGGGGCACTCCGTAACACCGTTGGCGCCATCTTGGTCGTTGTGACCACGCAGATGCATGCCATGCCAGTGGAAGGAGGTACCGTTGTTCTGGAGTTGGTTGTGAACGTTGATTTGGATGGTGTCACCCCAATCCGCCTCGATAGTAGGACCCGGGAACTGGTTGTTGATCAACATGGCCGGCTTGTGTACGCCGTCTGGTGCAACATCGGTCAGATTGCTCAGGGTGAAGTCAAACTACTCAAGTCGTTAGTAAAAGCTGAATATCAAGCCAAGAAAATACTTACGGTTCTCAACTTTCCCTGAGGCGGTGTCAAGATCTCGAAATCGGAGTCGATGTTGAAGTCTCCGTTCCAGCATTCTCTGTTGCCGATACCATTGGTACCGCAACCTGTCTGCCTTTGCTCAACCGAACGAATGGGGTTGGCATGAGCGAGAGAAGCAAGGAGGAACGCCCCCAGGCTGGAGGTGATGAAATTGGAAAGCATGATGAACGTGAAAGCACGAGACTGGTAGGAGATGAGCGACTGACTTGGTGATCTGCTATTCCATCGATATATCCGAAGGGAGAGTTGGGATTATATACAACTTGTGTATCAACATGAGGTCTTGCCTGGAGCGGCCTATCAAGGCCTTAGCCTCTTTCGGGAGGGCGACATCAATAGTCTCGGTGCACTTGCACATCCAAGGCCTCGGGGTGGCGTCTACACAGACCGGCAGCTTTCCAGGCATATCTTGATGCGAGTAAGAACGCGAAGTGTGAGTAGAAGTGAGGTGCATCCGACCCCTGCCCCTTGGGCAGTTACCATGCCTCATTCTGACATGGAGGGAACAATAAGCCAAGTCCCCTTCATGGTGGATACGATCGTGCGTTGTGGAGAAAGAAGGTATGTTTGTTGTGCCATGTGGATGTAGATGGAACATGCTTCAGGTCGTTCGGGTCAAGCTAGCGATACTGATACGGGGCAGAGAAGATGTGTACTAGGAGAGGATGGGAAAAGCCAAGCAGGGACAAATCTGGGATGAGGCTGAGCTCCGGCTTGTCATGGGGGCAGTAGCCAGGCAGACGGAATGCGACAAAGCTGGTTGGGTGGTGCGGATCATGTCAGATCCCCAAATTGTACCCAAGATCTGCCTTGGAGGTGCTAATTTCTTGCCCTATGGCTAGGAGCTGCAGCGACGGGTTCGGCGGGCTCGTGTGACACAGGCTGAGAATAGGTGAAGGATGAGGCTGACGGGCCACTTGGAGGGCAGCCATATGTCATGGCTCGGTACTCGCGGATGGTCTAAGTGTGTGCCGATAGGTTTGCAGTGCACCGTAGGGTGCTTGATTCGGTTTTTCGACATGCAACATGTCAGCATAATTTCCACTATCAACTGCCAGCTTGCAATGAATGACACATTGAAGGTTCTGATGTGATATGGACGGTGTGTATTCAGGCTAGCAGGCAGAGGTCTGACCGCACCCAGGAAACCTGCAACCTGACTGGAGCACACCCGCGAGGGGCCTGGAAGTCGGACCAGATCGTAGTATATCCAGATGGAACGATAGCAGTCACGGTGGACAGTCTGAACTCAGCTGAAAGCCTCGTACGGTTCGGGAGCTCCACTGCTTGGCACGGGAGGTATTCGGGCGCTCCACGAGTTGTCAAGATTCTAGGGCATGGCTCAGTCGTTAGCCTATCTAAGCGAGAAGGCAGATCGGCGCGCAAGACAAGGACCTGGTCTCTTGCCAGGATGCTGCTGTTGAGCAGTCTCGGAGTCGGCGGTGAGGCTCATCTGGCCGGGCAGCCGCGACAGATGGTCGGGGTAAGTGGAAGTCTCGCGGATACGAATGCAGAACGGTGTAAAAAGCAAAAAAAAGCGTTTCTTGGGTAGCGTTGACCGGCGAGATGTCCCCAGGGTCGATCAGGCCGAGATAGTACGGAGACGGAGCATCTGATTCGCCAAGACGAGGGTAGGAGACTAATGAGGTAACAAGAGAGCGCGGCACCATCGATTGACTAAGCTGCGCGGTTGGTGGGCGAATCAGTCGTGGATTAAGGTGGTACACAGAATATGTGCATAGGTAATAACCAGAGCTGGCCGGCCCTATCTTGGTCATGGGCTCAACGACATCATCGGGCGGCTCGTATCGAAAAGTGCCGTACTGTTCTGTCTCCATAGCAAGAGTCACCGGCTTGCCTAGAGTATTGCCCCGGGCGCATGGTAGTTGGGGGCTATTTTTAGGGTCAGCCGGCGCAGAAAGATGAGGAGGGGAAGAAGCTCAAGGGATCCACGAGGTTGTTGGGGACTTTAGATGCCGTGCAGCAAGTCTCCAGTGGACACTCTTTGGATGAACGGAGTCGGGCCAGGCGATGGTCTGATGGGACTGTGTGAGAAGGAGGAGTACCGGTAGGAGTCAGCATTATCTCGGCCGGGATACCTTGGAGACGGTCTGGGAGAATTCCAAGGACATGGAAGATGGATGATGGGCTGCAGGACGTGGTATCGCCAGTTGACGAATGAGAGCAGAGAGGTGTGATGGAAAAAGGTAAGCCAAGTCGACAGATAGCCGTGCTACGAGGTCGGGATTGGGTTGTTGAGGGTGGCACGGTGGAAGAAGAGACGGGGGAAGCGGAATGAGGTGGCATGGGATGCTGCGGTCGGAGAAATCTTACATGAAGGAGCCAGAAGCTTACCTGCAGCGCCTGCATGTACATTGGTACAGTCCCACTTGCTGCATCTACTGTGCTACTGTCCGCACACGTCAGGTGAAGGCAGTTTCCACATTGGGATACCCGTACTGTGTATGCGCCTTCCACGGACAATTTTAGAGGTAAAGTGTGGCTTCCTTACTTTCCGCTCCTCCTCCTTGATTCCTTCCCCCCTCAACCTCCACCACCTTCCCCGGGTTGAAAATACAGGAATTGATTAGCGCCTGCCGTGCGCCACAGACAACTCCCACTCAACACCTCACGCTCACGCTCATAGGTACCTACGCCCCCATACGCTCCCATCGGCAGCCAGGGAAATTTCACCGCTAGAGACTCGGGCGCTGGCTCGAGGAAGAACCGGGAACTTCCTCTTAAGCCCTCGCAGCTAGATTCCCTTTCTAGGGTCAGGGACGTTCTGAGGCGCGCCCTGGCAGCGGCACCGGCGTGGCTTCTGCCTGTCGGGCAACACCTCCAAATCGACAACACCAGCCATTATCCAACATTAATCACACGACGCACCATATCCGATGAGGCTCGTCAACATCATGCCATCGCATCTCCATACCCTGGCTAATGTCTGCTGCTGCTTGCAGTAGCTTCCATGTCGCCTCGATCCCCTCAATCAACCCACCGCTCTTCTTTCGCTTCTCTCATCGACGTTGGCAAGGCATATGCATGTCTCAGGGTCACGACCGTTAACAACACGATACATTCTACGGATACCTAGGCCTCGCACTCCTCGCACTCTCTTCCGCTGACAACGCATAACGCACACTTCAATAGATCGAACTTGCCCCCCAGTTTTCACCTGCGAAGCTCGGCCGAATCTTACAGACTACAGATATGCTCCAACGGAGCATGACGGGCTACATACACTCTACGGCTAGACTCGATATGCTGACAGCCACAACTCCGCGCCGTTTTCCAACCCGCCCACATCACGGCCGTGCCGATCGCCCATCTCCCTTCTGGTAAAGCTGCCGTTCGTAGCTGCATTTTTGCCTTTTGGCGCCGAACGACTTTTTCTCACTCTCACCTAAGCCTGCCAGCCGACTCACCCGTCCTGCAATCTTTACTCCCATCAGGTCCACCAATCACCGGTACCCCGTTGGACTTCCGAGGTGAAGTCCGACCGATCGCTCACGTCACATCATTGCCCTTTCAGATCCAACATGTGGATATGGCATGTTTGGTGTCGTTGACGGCGCGTTTTGAAGACAACTCTGACCCTCCCTCGCTTCAAACTGTCCATATCTGTTTACGAAGAGGCGTTCGTCCGGTGTTCTACGATGGCTGCAAGATTTGACCCTTCTGCCCGTCCTTGCAAATCTTACTACCACAAACATTGCCGAGCATTTTCTCCTTTCAAACAAAAGTGCCGTCTCTTCAAGGCTAATCCGCTTCGTATCTTTATTGATACGACTACATGCGGCTTGAGTCGGCGTCGACACACTTCCATCTGCTCTCTGCACGCCCACCGGCCCAAGCCAAGAAACTCGGCGAGCCGTAGATTGGCTCGCCAAAAGAGACGCGCCGCATTCCAAGCTGTCCCGCAAGCCTTCCCAAGCTGAGTGAACGCCGCCAGCTCCGTCGTTGAGGGTGTAGCGGATCCAGTTTTTCCCCGGGATCTCGTACGCTGTGCGCAATCTTGGCTTTGTTGCCTCTCTGTGAGTTGAACATTGGTCCTCGCTGTTATGGAGCTGTCTAATCTGCAATACGAACTTTGCCGGCGACTGGCGAAATAGCTCCGGCATTTTATTCGCGAGTTGTTGCGTTCAAAGCTGGACTGAAGACTCCCCTAGGCTTAGCGCGGGCGTGTGTCATTCGGGCTCCAGCGCTGCCAGTCTGGAAGCCCGTAGGGCTACACTCCCGGGATGCAACCCAAACGCTATCATCCCAGCGCTTATTGGCCCTGCTATGATTGACAGGCTCTGCTACCCAAAAACCACTACTGCGCGCACCAATGCTTCAGGTGAGGTGGGCACCACAACGGTGAGGCACACTCTGGGAGCTGAGCCGCACCACCGTTTTGGTGGCATGACGTTGAGGAGAAAAGCAATTTGAAAGTGTTTACTTTCATGTAGCGTCGCTCTCGGCTTCAAAGAGTTTGTCACAAAGAAACATCAAGGAGGTAGGTTTCTCGTGCGGCAAGGCACCCGACTATTGGCACTTAAGGTTGCAGAGTCGCCCGTTGGCGAGTCTAAGACAAAAGTTTCGAACATGTTCCCGAGAGACCCGCTAAGCTTTAGGCTTGACCCGTCGGCATGCCGAGGCCGCCGTCAAGCAACTATGAAAGTGTCAGTTCGTGGCACCAACTCTATGTTTACAGTACAGCATGTGCTCGGTTCACGTTCGCGACGCTGTTCTGGATCATCCTTGCTGCTGGTGATCCAGCAAGCTCCTCACACTAGATGAGCTCTCGTATTAGTTCTCGTATCAACACCTCGGCAATTACGTCGTAGGGAATATTTGCTGCACGATAGTGTCTTCTGGTCCGCTGCCGCCCGATTCCGTGGTTTTTGGGTTGGCATCTTTCCGATCCGGCAGCTGTGCCGACAATCCGGCTCAGTGCGCGTCGGCCCCGCTTCCTCCGGGGCCGGTACCACCTTCCGTATTTGGTATCCTCGTAAGGTTGATTCAACGACTTCATTGCATCACTCCACACCCAATCACACTTAAGAGTATAGACTTATATCAAGTCGAGGACCTTCGCACTTGCAAAACGCCAGAGCATTATAAACATGTTGACACATATCATGGAGAATCAGGAGCATCTTTCTTGTTTTTACTAGGTTTTATTGACTAAGGTACTCGGTAACTAGCTAGTAGAGAGCATCTTCACCTTTTGGGGGTGACTGCGAAGAGAGTATCTTCACCCTTCAGATGTAGCTGTGGCCATCCTGCCACCACCGCTCCATGACCAAGGCATGCTTTCCCTTTCTCGCCCCTTGCTTATTTGCTGGGAGGAAGGGGCTTGGGATTCGGGTCGGGAGGGGGGTGGGGAGGCTTGGGGCGAGGGTTGGGCCAGGTAGGAGCCATTGCGTCGGTTTGATTGATGTTGTTGGTTGATTGGGTAATCGTTTTGTTTGATTGATGGTTGTTTGGCTTGAGAAGTTGTGTTTGGTTTTGATGGATTTGCTTGAGTGTCTGAGTGTGCTTGGGTTTGGTTGGCTGAGTGATGTCTTGAGTGTGTTTGATGTGTTGATGATGTAGAAGAAGAAGGTTTGTTGATTTCGCGGTCGGCATGTTTTGTTTTATAGTGTTGGTAGAGAGGGCGGTGTTGAGGGAGTGAATCATACTCGGGAGCGCGAGGGATGGTGACTGCGGTTTGAACTTGAGGCAACTCGTGAATTGGTGTGTCCTGATATCCGAACAGCGGTCTTTGAAGATAGTTCTGATTCACGAACGGGGCATGGAGGTGTGATTGACTGATTTCAGTCGCCTAGACTCTGGTATTTTGCCGACTATGGAGATCTTACTTTCCCGTCTCCACAATCCATCTATGTTCTCTGAGAACAGGCGTGCCTCGTGAAGAGTTATTGTCTCACTCGAACCTATGGGCGATGACTTGAAATCCTGTCGGGCTTCCCTTGGAGACTCGGAACACGATGCTTGGCGGTAGCAAACAATGCAGGCCAATAGGAATCTCTGCCGAGACTCCTGAGAGCTTCTTGCGGTTACACGGACAAGCTTGACTTACTGAACAACTATTCTTCACGAGCTACCTTGCTTTGAAGATCGAAAGCATGTGCTCTGATTGCCTTCGCACCATGGCCGTGCTCCAGATAGACTACAAATGCAGTCGGCACCTGGCAAGGCTCCACTTGAACAGCTCTTGTGTTGGGCAAAGTCATCGGTATAGAGGTCGGTGATAGAACAAAGTGGAACACTCAGATTCGTCGTCAAAGAACCGCCTGCATAGATCTTGCGACGGTGCGTAGACATACTGCCATGCCTCGACTGCTCATGTCCAAGCACCGCAACACAGCACGAATCAGATATCCTCAGACCGAACAGTCCCCATACTCGATGATATGGAGCGGTAGTAAAGCCCGCCAAGCTGCTATTGCACGTCTGCAGCTGCGGGACGTTCGTCGTCTGCTGATCATACGGATGCTCTTCTGCGGGCTGGCTGTACAGCTTGGAAGTGCCTTGTAGGAAAGCAGTTGGGCATGCACAAGGCCATTGTTTCGATCAAAGCATCCCTTGTTGGTGCTACAATTGTATTCGACGTCGTGACTTGTACCTTACACCATGGATTCGCATTCGGGGACACCACCCTCCCCCGGCAAAAGATGTGCCCATGCGAGCACCGCAACGGCGATAAGACACCGTTCGAAGCCGAGTCGCGATACTTCCTGCAACAAACATCTTCATTACATACGGACACCAACATCAATATGTAAGCATAACCTCGCTTACCCAAGCAATGTCCCCGCGTTTGTTACCAAGTCCAGGTCCAGACGCTCGCGCTGAAGCTCGCGTCCCGAGAAGCCGCGCGCTTCCTGTCATTGACTGCACGAGGTATTCGGAGCATAACTCCACAAGGAGTTAGTTTGATTACTGTAATTGGCTTGGGTGAGTCCTTCGCAGGCGTTGATCGAAGCTTGATTTCCTGCCTTGTTTGCTAGCGCTTATGTTTCCTGAGCCGTTATCCGCCGCTAACGCGATGGTGTCGCATCTCATGAGCGGGGCATGTTGATGAATGCGAGCAAGAACCTTGGATATGGGTGATTATTTGTATGTTTGTTGAGGTTGATGATGGATTGAGTATAAGATATAAGTCCGCCAGGAACGAGTTCCGATCCGCACTCAACAACATCCGTTGATCATCACCGTACACTTCTATCACGCACCACCCGGAGCTCACTCGAGAGGATCCTCAAGCATATCCACCAGTCATCATCAACCTCACGACGATGTCCGACCGAACAAATCCCAACAACTCACGACAAGCAACGCCTCTACCTCCCGCCCGCCTCATAACAACAGGCCACACCGCAGACGGCACCTCAATCTTCACATCCGACGCCATACTCCCGCCCTTCCACCCCTTCGGCCCCCAAGCAAGCAGCTTCACCTCCTTCCACACGACTCCAACTCTCCCAGCCTCCAACTTACCCAACATCCCTCTGCAAACTTTATCAACCTCCCTACCGCGTGCGCCCACGGCAGGGACATACTTCTGCCTCACGGATTTCCCGCCGCGGTATAAGGCGCCTATGCACCGGACCCTCAGCATCGACTACGCGTGTGTGCTGGCTGGAGAGATTGTGATACGTCTTGATGGCGGGGAAGAGAAGGTTGTTAGGGCGGGAGAGGTTATGGTTCAGGGAGGGGTGAATCATGAGTGGGTCAATGCGTCGGACGGGTTTACGAGGGTTCTGTTTGTTATGGTTGGGGCTGAGGCTGTGGTTCTTGATGATGGGCGAAGGTTGGAAGAGACCGTTTTCAAAAAATGAGGGTCGGGTCTGTGGACTGTAGTGGTGTTGTTTCAACCGTGGCTGGCTTTCGTCTGTTTCGATAAGTTTCTTCTCTGAATCCGTCCCTCCCTGTTAGTTTTTGACCCCTTCTTAGATCACAGTGTACTGGTGGCATGTCCAAAGGTGTACGGGACGCTGAGGTGTTACTCCAGACAACATCAGTTGATTATGAGAATTATGAGAAGCAACCAGACTTTACACAGCAAATCCCTTTCTCTATTACTTTTCACGCAAACTGCGTATAGTTCTGAGATTGCCCCGTGATTCCCACTCAACGATTCAAGTAGCTCCGAAGAAATGCAGCCATCATCATCTCCTCCAAAAAGCCGCCCTACTTCAAAGTCCCCCTCTGGAAGCAACCTATCCGATGTCTTAATCCTCCGTATAAGGTTCCGTAACAGTCTCCCCACTTTGCGTATTGGTAGGTCCAGCAAGTACTTTATGTAGTTTGCTCGCCTCAATTCTCGCAAGTTGATTTCAAGATCACATTCAAGGATCAATTTGACAACTTCGGCATGATCACCTGATGTCGCCGCTACCAGTGCTGTCCTGAGTCCTAACTTGCGACGCCTGGTGCTTTTCTTAGATAACATTCCGAGAAGTTTCAGAACAACTTCCATATAGCCTCCAAGCGCTGCTGAGGAGAGAGGGTCTAGGGGCTTCAGTCGTACATAGAATATATTTAGAATATATATATATAGGCATAATAACCATAGGAATGATAATGGTAGTAGGAATAGTAGAAAAAGAGACGGGGAGAGCATTGAGCGGCATCCCATTTTGTCACCCACTTGGGAGCCTGCCTTGTTGTTGATCTCTAAAGAATCATTCTCTTGCCCTTGACGTTGGCGGAAAATGCGGTACATCAATATTATTGGGGAGGAATCAGTGCTCAATGTAACCTGAGTAAACCTTGCCATAGTACCGCATGCCTTGGCTTAGAACTATGTATACATACCAGTTTCATTTTGTGAGAGGGACAGACTACGCAGAACTCACAAAGGCATCCGGTGAGGTCTTCAGAAAAAGCTGCTCATCGCGGCTCACATGAGGCTCAATCGCTCAGCAGAGCCCTGGTCTAACTAACGGCAGTGCGCTTTCAATCTTACAAGGGCAGACTCAGAGTGAGAAAGACGGGCGAGGAAACAATATGTATTAAGAGAAGTGCGTAATGATATCTTGACACGCAACATCGACATATCCAAACGAAACGTAACTGAAGAACGAAGACGTTCGAACCGAACTCAACCTGCCTGCGCATACTCGTGACAACTTCATAAACGTATATATACTGGGGGCAAAAAGAGTGATACCCAACAGATTAACAACGGGCGAGGCTTATGCCCCTCATACTTCCGTCGTTAACAAGGAAGACTAAACGTTAAATGATTCAATCATCCACAATCTCATCCGACGACGAGGACGAACCGGACATGATAGACGAGGCATCATCATACGACGGGATACCACCCGAGTCAGATGCAAAGTCAGTATCCGTAGCATTCGTCCACAAAGCAACCCAGCGACCAAGATCCTTCCGCCCCTCGCCCAGGTCTTCCTCTCGCGTCGGGTCTGGCCCAAAGTCAGGCTCGAACCCGAGCTCCGCACGCTCTTTAGGCTTGACTGTGATCACGGGCGAGAGAGGAGGCGGCGGCGGAGGCATAGGTCCCCTCGGCCTTACACAGGGGACCATTCCCGGTGGACGCATTCCCGGAGGCATTGTCCGCCAGCCTGGTAGTGGGGGCGGCGGGGTGTAAGGCTCGGCCCAAGTAAGCGGGTCCGGTGCGCCGGGTGGCACGTAGACTCCTCCGTTCATGCCGTCGTTGAAGGCCGAAATGCGCATGTGCAGAATGGCGCCGGGCTTGATGGTTGTCGGCCATGCCTCTGGCGTGATGACTGTGTCGTTTTCATTGACGATCTCGTACGCTCCGTCCCTTACGAGGCTCCAGAGTCTGGTGACATCTTTGAAGCGCTGGTGGATGGATACACGTGCACCCTGTTGATCCCGCCTGTCAGTTACATATTCATGGAGTTTCAGAAGAGGGCAATCTTACCTGAACGGTACGGCACTGCTCAAACGGAATATCGTACTTTCGGCCAAGAACATCGGTCATGTGAACTGGCTCTGCTGCCGGATCGACCGACATGAACACAACTGCAACATCAGGACGGGTGGTGGTGTCCACAGTGATGAGTTGCCTGACCCGACCATCCTTTCTCTGGGCGCGGAAGAGGGCACCTTGCACTGCAGAGCGAAGCTGGTCATCCTGGATGAGGAACGCATCACCCGGAGTCTTTGAGCCTTGCTTCAGGATGCGCTTCAGCTCGAGACGGAGCATCTTGGGCTCCAATGCCAAGAAGGACTCTGGGAACGGGCCGTTTCTCAGGACCGTCGCCTCGAGATCCAAGTCGGTCATAGATGGCATGGTGTTGCGACGGAAAATGCCCTGGAACCATTTGCCTACAGACTTGAAGACCTTGGCTGGGAATCGACGCTTTGGCTTCAACAGCTTGATTTCAGCGGGGCCCCCGTCTGAGGTCCCATCCCATGGTTGGTGCCAAAAGCTTGTCGGGGCAACCATCGGCGGCGGAGGAGGAGGTGGTGTGGCAAGCTCAACGACGGGTTTGACCTTGGCCTTCTCCTCCGTCTTGTCACCACAGATGGATGGCGCCCTGGAGTCATTTGCAGTCTCGCCAGACTTCCAGGATTCTGCGTCATCGTCAATATCGCTGCCACTGACGGATGATGCACCTTCAGATTCGTAAACGCTCTCAGTGTTGGACTTGTCTGCGAGCGCCAAACGTTGCTTTCTCTCGACTCTTTCGACGAGCTCCTTTGCGACTTTGGCCTTGCACGTCAACAGACGCATTGCCAGACTCCTTGAGGCCAATTCCTCGTCAAAGCTTCCAGGGTACCTCGGCCTGGTGAATGGTCAGCAACATGTTCATCGTCTTTGCAAGAGCAGCACTAACTTGATCTGGAGGCCGGCAATACCAGCCACTTGCATGTGGAGCAGAAGACTAGCTTTGAGCCAGCGCAGTTGGACCTCGCTCGTCTCAATGACTTCCTCAATCATCTCCCAGTCCATGTTGTCGTTGATGGCATGGAGTCTGGACGCCTTCAAGTCCTCTGCAGTAAGGGTCTCAAAGTCCACATCTTTGACAACCTTGACAGCAAGACTTGCCCTGTAAACGCTGCGGATAAGGGTGTTGTACACTTTCCCACATCTCGTTGCAAGATCTTCAATGGCCTGTCGGCCAGCGTATTGGTAAACGGGCGAAAACTCAAGTGCATCAGCGGCAAGGAATTCCCGCAGCTGGCTCAGTGCTGCCGCTGTAGCAAGAACATCGTCACTGAGACTGTGGATATCGCAATCTGGTCCAGAGGTGCCGAGATGATAGATTGCGAGCTTCGTGGCGAGCTGTACACCCAACTTGGCGATGCCAGACACGTCAACGAAAGGGGCGGCCATCTTGTGCAGCGAACCAGCTGTTTAGAAGGATGTGAAGGCAAAAGGAAGACCCAGGAAGAACAGTGCCAGCAGGATATCGGCTCCTTTCTTGCACTTGAAGCATGATGAAGAGCGGGGTATTTATCTCCTGTCAGCACTGCAGTCTAGTTGCAAGCCTCATTTTCTGCTATTGGGCTGGGCAAGCTGCAAGCTTCGACATCCCCGTTGGCTGGTCTGGATGGGTGTCCAATGAGCCGCATCAAGCGATGGTGCTACAGTCTATTTGTTGCTCTTGAAGGCTTGAAACGCAATGTGTTCTAGAACCAATGGTTCGATGGGAGTCGCTATCGTGAGACCATTCTTTGACTGTACCGCATCGTCATGTAGCCACGGCACACTACGATGATGCAATTGGACCAGCAGATGCAGCTGTAGCCCCAAGTACGGCATCAGGCTTTCCCTGCGATGCAATAAAGGTGGGCTTGTCGTGGCACAGAGTCTTGTTCGGTGCCGTCTCGGGTTGCGAATGGATCTGGCTGCCTCATGTTGTTCGTATTAGTGAGGCCATCGTCACGACTCAAAAGCGCATGTGCGCGGGGGATGCATTGTCGAAGTGAGAGCCTGCCTGAGGTGTCTGCGGGCCATAGGCATCAGCTGCAGGCTGTGATCGCTTCAGGTCGCTCTTTTGGGTGACGAGAAGCAAAGTGAAAGTACACTGCAGGTGAGGGAGGACGTCCTGCCCAATTGATTTGAGCTGCACGTGACTCTAAACGGTCCCCGGTCCACGCGGGGCAGGTAGGTACGGCTGGCGCGCTTCCCCCCGCCCAGATAATGGAGAAGTCGGCAGGAGCCACGCGCAATGCATGCCGTGTTCCGTCCGCCTGTAACTTCCGCAAATTGACCAGGCAGTTAGGCAGGCACGGCAGGCAAGGCAGATAAGGCAGATAGGTGGGCGAAATCAGGCAAAATCTTGCCCGTGATGGTTCGCCCTCTGCTTCTTTGATGCACCTCATCTCTGTCCTACCCTCGTTGTGAAGATCTCGAACCGCGCAGCCGCTCGCGTCTGGAACCAGCCTCCAAGATCGTTACTTTTGGCTATAGCTATCCGATGCATGCTGTGAGGCCGCCGGAGCAATCCGGACACCGAAAATGCGAAGATCCCCCCAAGAGGTTGGCATCCGCCTTGACCTTCTTGAGCGCACATTGGTATTCAAACAAAAGCAGTTCCATCATTCATCTCTCGGTCCTTCACACGCCGCGACAACGTGAAGTCTCAGATGATCAGAATACCCATCCCATTAAAATTCCAAGCACCAAGCATGCCGCCCCAAGCCGAGCCTCCCAATCTCACCAGCCTCACCATCCATCCTCTTCCCGTGCCTACCCCAGTATATTGCTCATCGAATACCTCACCCAGGACAAACAGACTTGGGACCTAAGGGATAGTTCAGAGACACGCTACCTTGCTAGAACAGGAGCCTCAAGATGCTCTTCTGTCATCATCACCCTTATACTCCTAGTGAGGCATTGCGGGATAAAATGGTCGACCAACTGGTCGGTCCAGCCAAATCATACAGATCAGCAGCGTGCCGTCTTCCATCGTCTTGGCGGGGACGAGGAGCCTTCATATATGGGAAGTTGGCAGATGCCTGGCCCTCAAGCTGATTGCTGCTGTCAATTGCATCAAGCAGGTGTCCATCGAGTCTAAATCATCAGGCTGTAGACCATACGGAAGCCTTGAATGACTGGCTTTAGGGGCCTGGACCACAAAAAGCCCCAATTGCCAGTCAAGCTCCAGCATCTACACTCATATAATTTCAACAAGTCACTCATAAAAGACCAGCAACATGACCCATGACAATTACAATTGGCAGGTTTTCCCTCATCTCCTAGGTCCCGAAGGATGAATAATCTACATATCTACGCTCATTCACTCCCGAAGACCAGTAATGTCTGTCTCCCACCTACGCACACATTCCATCTACATCCATCCTTTGTACAAGTAGAAAAGTGAAGCCGGCCGTTTAGGGAAAAGGTCTAATCGCTGTGAAAAATGCCCGAAAAAAAAGAGTAAGGTAGGGTAGGTGAGAAAGAACAGGTCTTGTCGGCGTTGGACAATGAAGAAAAAATGAAATGTGCCATGGTGTTTCTTAAGATGCACCACTGATGATGAAAACAGTGATCCCATTCCCCTGCATGTGAAGGTCGCAATGATTGGTTTGAATGAGACAACACTTCGCTCCGGGGGCAACACTGTAACTGCCTTATCTTCCTTTCTAACCTGTGGCCCACATGCGCATGGACAGAATGGGTTGGTGAAGGTCGCCGCGGTTCCCGGGGACGATCGTCTGGAGCTCGTTGATATTCATAGCCTCTCGGGCATGTAAGTGGTATTCGTAGCAGCGCCTGTTCTCCAGGACAGGTACCCTCCAAATCCCATTGAAGACTCTCATGTCCCCGTTACTTCTGCTGCCAATGCTATGCTTCATACATCGCCGCTCCTGCCAGCGAGACCATGAAACCCAGTTTGAAGCAAGTCTTGTTCGTACATCATACACCATTGTTCTACGTGAGCACGTTCAGCCATAGAAGAGCTCAAACTGGGTTGCGAAGCCGGGTTCCGTCGGCTTGACCTCCTTGATGGGGTGGAGGATCATGGGTGGCAGACACGGACGACCATGAGCTCTCTCCCAGTTCTTGCCTCCAATCTTAGTGTCGACATATCCGATCCAGTTGTTGTACAGTCTTGGTGGGGGCTCAGCGCGGTAGTACCAAGTCATACCCTGGTATCTACGCTCTCTACCCCAACCCATTGGGCTGCCCTCGCCACCGCTCTCGCCGCGAGGTCCAGGATTGAACCACTTCTCGAGGAAAGTGCCATTCCAGGGGCGGTCGAACCAAGTAGGGTGGGGCGCAAACACAGTCTTGAAGCCGTGGAGAAGGGCCACAGTTTGAGGGGTCATCTCCGACGCAATGTGGTTGCCGCGAAGATTTTCGACGTGCATAATGTCCAAGAGACGCTTGGAAACACGAGATTGGGTGACGATGGTGGTTCGGCGGGGGAGGGTCTTCGCAGGGTCGGGGAACTTTTCGTCTCTGTAGCCCCAAATGTGATCCGAGATGATCCAGCTGCTGTTGATCGGGTTGAAAATAGGGCCGACAGTGATCATATCTGCATCCTCGCCAACACCCCACTTGTACGGTTCCTTCTCAGGGTTTTCAACAGGAGGCTTGGGGCCGACGGGGTTGATAAAAGGCAGCTTGGGCGGACCCCAGACCTGGTTGCCACGGGTGCGCTGCTCAACGTCCTTGCGGAAGTCGGTATCGTAGTCTCCGTGGAAATCGGGGATGTAGTAACGCTCGTTACGCTCCCACAAACCTCTGCGGGGCTGCTTCTTGGAGAAGTCGGAGAGGCGCTTCAGGAAGTCGTAGTTGTGACCAATGATTCTGGCGTCCATCTCCCAGTTCCAAATGAAGTCGAACTCGGGGTGGTCCTGGCTGAACTTCTGCACCGATAACCATTGGGCAGAATGCACGCTCTTTTCGTTCTCGTCGGTAAGTGCCGTGTACAGGTTCCACATGGCTTGGTCATTCCACAGCTTAGTGATGCCGTGGAACTCGAGAGGCACATGCTCGTTGAGCACGTACTGGTACGTGGCCTCGTCGTTCCAGATGTCGAGAGCCTGGTCGCGAACGTGCAGCAGCAGGAATACCTGGTACTCGCCACCGGATCGGAGCGAGAGCTCGGAAATGAGGGAGCGGATGACCTGCTTGTCATTCTCGGTGTACTTCTTGCCGGTATAGGTTCGAAGAAGGACAGCAGTACGGGTGTCAGGAGTCGTCACCTTGGCGCCCTTGGACCCGCCCCTGAACTTGTTGGTGAGGCCTCGCTTCTCGTTTGCCTCTTCTTCCTCCTCGACCTCCTTGCCATACTTCTCAGCGATGTCGGGGTAGGCAGTCTTGATGTACTCGTTGGGCTTGCCCTCGTCGAAGCGGGCGGCATTTCTCTCAATGCACTTCTCCTGGAGATCGCCCCAGTTGATGTTATCCCAGTCAATGCGAAGACCGGCCTTGCTGAGTTGAGGCAAAAGACCGTAGGGTCCGAGTCTGGTCTCACGCTCGTAGCAAATGTTGCCGTCCATGTCCAGGACGTCGAAGCCACCGAAGCCCGGGTTGGGGAATTTTGCGGGATGACCCTTGAAGACTAAGAGGTCGTCGACGGACTCGCCAGTTGCACCAATGCAGGGTACATGGGGCGCGCGATGCGTCTTGTTCCATTCTTCGCCATTGTAGTCGGGGTAAGGGTTGAAGTAGACAGGTCGTTGGTTTGTGTAGGCTTCCTCCTGCGTGCCAGACTCGCGGAGGTTGGCGGCGTGCTGGGCGGTCCTGTTCTCCTTGTCCTTCAGGGAGTTGAGTGTGTTCCCGTAGATCGCATCGTTGCCGGGAAGCCTGTAAAGTTTAAAAAGTCAGTCTTTTCCTGCATGCGTGACAGGTGACGTTCCCGCAATCAGGATTGACAGGAGGGCACGTACTTCTTGGCAGCTTCATACTCCCGCGCAAACTCATCTCGCAGATCCTGCTCGTGCTTTTCTCTCTCTTGCTTTTGCCTCTCCTCGTCCTGCTTCCTCTCCTCTTCCGACTTTGGCGGTTCAGGAGGTGCGGCCTTTTCGGGAGGCGCAGAGATGCCGTCTTGGTTCCACGGGACGACGTGATAGCCGGCAGGAGCGCCCCTTGTGGCCAGGAAGTAGACGGTAACAATGGCCAGAGCGAGGAAGAGCAACGTCTTGGGGCGGGCCCTCGGGGCGATAAAGCCTCTCGATGATTGTTGTTTGAGCATGGTCAACATGGCCAGCGCGGCAGCGGCAAGCGGCGGCGGGCGGCGGTCGACTGGTGGTTATTAAAGAATCGGCAGTCCGTGGTAAAATAGGTGCTGATCGAATGGGCGATTGGGTATAGGTTACGGTTGGAATGTTTGCCGCGGCGCTATAGAGGCATGCTGCGGCGGTCGAGAAAACACACAACCAAAGGAATGACGACCCGAAGCGCTGGTCTTTCGAAATATGAAAGGAACGTGGTGAGTTCTCGCGCGCCACGCAAAACCCAATCGAGAAGAAACCTGGCTCGAACGACAACAACGCTGCAGTGTGAGCGGGACCTGTTATGGGGGCTTGGCGAGATTGGATAAGACTCGTTGATTAGAGAGTGGCACGGCTCCTATCAAAGAAGACCCAGTTGGGTTTTTTTTTGGGGGGGGGGGGGGTGTGGTGCAATGGATCGGACGGGGGGCGAGTAGCGCGGGGGTGGAAAGGGAGGAAGAGACAGAAAAGTCTAGACTGGAACACGCCTCTCCGCAAGATCAAGGTCAGATCTGAAGTGAAACGACGACAATGTCGACGAGAGTGATTGTTGCTGTTGCCGCGATTGCAGAGATTTTTTTGGCTTCGCAGCAAAGGTCAAAAAGGGGAAGAAAGGAGAAGGAGTGGGAGGCAAGTGGAAGGAGATACTACTACAACGATGTCAGCGAATGCCGGGACTCAGGCACTCAGGACTCAGGAGAGAGGATGTCGAGTCGAGCTCTGGGCAATGAACAGTGGGCAGGAAGGACGGGAAAAGGGAAGGGGCACTAACTAGGCAAGAGGCAGGAGGATCATGGAAGGGGAAGCAAGGAAGTTGGAAAAAAGAGGAAAGGGCCACCGCCAATCGAGTTGCTCCGTTGCGTAGAGACGGCAAGGGCTGGCCGCAGGGTACAGAGAGTACGAAGTACATCTCCGAGTACGATTTAAATTGGATAAGGAGGAACGATGTACGGAGTACATACAATCGGCCGCCTGCTCTCTTTCCTAAGTTCCTTCACTGCGACGAAGGAAAGCACGTTAGCCGTAAGGTAGGTAGGTACCTTGGGCTCTTTCTCTGTCTGTAAGGTACTTTGGTCCCAAATGTATCTCAACGGGGTCCCGCGAATATCTGCAGATAAACCGCGTACGTCGCCGCATGCACATTGCATTTGCAACACGCAAAAGGAGACACGCAGCAACAAGCCAGCCAACCAAGTCACAAACTGACGAACCCGCTCATCCTCCGAGTTGGATGTAGATCGCCAGTTACGTGAGAAAGTGGCCACCGTCCGCCTAATCTCTAAAAGAGGGACGCAAATGTCGCCCACCGGTCCTCCCTGAGTCCCTCCACCCATTGTTGACAAGAGGATTGGATGGGAATCAAGACCTGGCTGCTGGCTCCGGCACCCGGCAATCAATCCATCACACAAGACTCAGGTCGCGCGGGATGGGCGGGACTGTTGTGGTCACAGGTGGCATGGATGATGGATTCATGGTTGGTATGACGGACTTCTTTCTTTTCTGCCCAGACATCTCTGCCAGACTCCAGTGGGATTCGGCAAGCGATACTAACAAAAAAAGGGGAGAGCCAAGGTTGGACTGGAGCCATATCGAAGCACTTTAATCGCATTCGTCCCCATCCGCCATGCCGTGCAAATTGACACACCGTAGCGGCAGCCGGCAGCGCGACTTGTGTTTCGCCGGTTGAGCCAGCGATCAGTGGATGTCTCAATCTCAGGAGGGTGATTGCACCAGGCCACCTCATCTTTTTCCTCCATCCCGCTGATGGTGTTGCTGCTGCCGGGGCGAGACAAACGACGAGAGATTCTCCAATACAAAAAGACAAAGAAAGCCACGCGTTCAACCTCGTTGCCGAGTCATCGACCATAACTTTCGCGCCGTTGATGCTCTTTCGCGAACAAAGAGCAAAGAGAACTTCACCAAAGCCAACTTGACCAAATTTCTGGCCTATAGTTGAACGCCCTGAAAGTTGGTGTTGGCTTCTTTCCCTTCCCTGACCAATCCAAGCCGCATTCTCTTGGCCACGCTGCGAAACCAGGAACGGCACCAAAAAGTGGCACTTCCAAAACCACGCTAGTCCCGAGCTCCCCTTTCCATGACACCCCTGTCGATCCGAGTTAATCGCCTTTTCTTTCCAAAGTACCGAGACACCCAATTTCAGGCGTCAAGATACCTCATCAACTCAGCTCGCCCCTTAAACTGAAAAAGCACTTTACACGTGCCCTGCCGCTGTCGGATATCCCACGCGTATTGGCTGCTTCACCAACGGAAAAGAGAGGAAGGCCTTCCAAACGAGAAGGCGAAGGTGGCATATACGTTCGGATACCAGACCAAATGAGAGGAAGAGCGATGGGTAAGGTGATATCAAATTCCTTGAAGCAAATACGCGGGACTTGAACAGGTCCCACCATTCCCCGCTCATCCTCGACTGTGACACCGAGTCACTGACAAAGGCGCTCGACTCGGCTTGAGGTGGGAAATAGGTAGCTGAAGAAGATCTTCACGGCCCTCTGCTCGTTCAAGAAGGTGCCAATGAATGTCATTGTCTCCAGGGAGGATCACATCACACAGACATCCGCAACGGACAATGCCCTTTGCCTCACACTTTGACCTTGCATCAGCAGCAAGTCTGTGCTCTTGAAACTCAGATCGGACAACTGCACGCGATTTCGAACAGTTCCATACTTCCATTACAATCTCGCTCTGATGCCTTCCGAAACAAAACGCACGACATAATCACTTACCTACCGCAGCGCAAGGCAAGGAGGGACCAGCTGCAGTCTGCAGGCGACTTGCGCCTGTGAATGCAGGGCAAATGGTCCTATCTCGCAATCGCAAAGACATCGTTTCCATCAATAAGAGACCTCGAGAAAGAAAAGACTGACGGGGGAAAAAGAAACTTCCCAATCAAACCATCGCCAGACCTCACGTATCATGTCTAACAAATGCAGCAAGAGAAGAAATAACAACCTCCCCCTCTCTACTAACACAAGTCAAAAACATCTGGCTAATAAGCATGGGCTCATTATCTCTTCTTCCCCTTACAGTGCCAAGGTACCAGCAACTCGCGTGCCGCCGTCAGCTTCATCCAGCAGCATCTACTTCGTAGCATTCTGTCCTCTCCTGCTCGACCACGCCAACTTCCTGTTGTATCTGTCGACGCTCGACAGTCACAGAACGAGCAAGAGGCCCCCGCCATCCATCCGTCTGACGTTCCATCCACTCTTTCTATTTCCATCCAGCAATGCGCGCGCTCCACGGAACACCCGCTCGCAGTGAAACCCACCCGGGCCACTGACAACCAGACGAACCATTGACACTGTCCTCTGTATTCGTACGGACACGCCGTGCGCCAGAATGCCATCAAGCTAAGCGAGTCGGATTGTGCCCTCGAACCGTGCGAAGTATTCAGCGCACGATGCAAGCGAAGTCCTTAATCCTCGACACTAGCCACTCTTCTTGAAACAACCTCCCGGTGGAGCACGACATTTTTCCCAAAACTGAAGAGGTCCACCGAGATTTCGACATGGAAGTGCCTCCAGATTGTACATTACATAATCCTCAGGACCTGACCAATTGACTTTGGAGTTTCTGATTGAAGCCATCACGAAGATGGACTTACTACTTGCGTTGAGGTCAAAGCTAACTATCGTTTTTTTTTATATACAAATGACCTCTCCCAGGCAAGTGTGGAATGTCCCGACGGATGTATCGAACTTTCTGTGAGACGCGCCTTGTATTCGAACATTGTGTTCAACCGATTTTGCTTCTAGTGAATTGTCCACATGAGAACATGCTCTCTCTTCGAGATCCATTCATCAAATTGGCATTGAGATCTCCCTATCCCTTAACGTCTCGATCATGTACCTAAGGAGTGTTGACAAGGTTCCCAGCATCAACGCCGCCAGACGGCCGAGATTGATTGTCCCGCACTCCCTTGGGCTGTCTCTTTGTTGTAGAGACTAGGAGTCGCAGTCAATATTGTAGTTGATGACATTGCTAGAGGGGATGGAACCAGAGGTGAAGCATGCGAGATAGGTCGAGAGCTAGTTAACCAAATCTCATTCACGGAGCATTTAGCATAAGCATAAGTTGACATCACCAAGGTTTCGCTCCAGGAGCAGGAGGAAATGGTATACAGTCGATTGGACTCTGGAATATGCACAAGGAATACAACTTTAGCATATGGGGTAAGAATGTTGACTCAAGGTTGATCTTGTTTGTTTGACTTGCTACGGGTTGTGGTCTCTAAACCGGCGAGCCTCTTTCGACGGCTAGCTATGTACAAGCACTCGTGTGCACCCCGTCACCTGCAAGGTCTTCTTCCTCTGCTCCTTTGCCACGTAATTGGAATGTCTCCAATGCTGCAATGGCTTTCCTTCCTAAAGAACTTCCATAAGCTCATGCTCAAAACGAAGACAAGATAAGTGCGTCGTCCGATGCAGGTATCAACAGAGTCCACAAAGGACTGGGTATATAAAACTCTAGATGGCAAAAAAATGAAGTGTATGTAGCGGGTTGAGATGAGGTTTTTGTCGTGGTCGTGAGCGGGTCGTGGGGTATTAAAATGCATTGTAAATGATGATTCATATACGACGAAGCGAATATGTAGTCGGAAAGGATTCGTGTGGCATTCCTGGTGATTTACATCATTCCGAGTCTTGTCATGCGCTTGTTCATAGTAGGCGGCATAGGCGGGGCGAGTCCGGCCCCGGGGCCCATTCTCTGCCCGCGAGGGAGACCGATTGGTGGTCTCATGCCGGACTGTCCGTTACTGGGACGTCGGCCACCTTGTCCGGGAACACCGAGGCCACCGGGGGAGCGTCCTCGTCGCTCTTCGTTGACCATGCGAGGCGGCGGTTGCATGCGGCGCCAGGCGTCCTTTTCACAGTACGATCTGCCGTTGACTTCGAAGTAGCCGTTGGATAGCGACATTCCGCAGTCGCCGCAGCGGAAGCAACCGACGTGGTACTTGATACGTTCTTCGTCTTCCAGGTACTGACCCTCGATGCCGCGTCTGCAGGACCCACACAAGCTGCCATTGAGCTTGTGATAATGGTTACCGCAGTAAGGCTTGTCGTTGAGAACGTAAAATTCCGCTGAAGAGAAGGGCTCGAGACAGGTGGTGCAGACGAAGCAAGCCTTGTGGTAGCGTCCGGTGAGACGGCCGTCTGAGGATGAAATGCTCTTGCCGGTAATGGCATCGCCGCAAGACTTGCAGTTTCCTCGCGAGGGCCGGTTGCGGGGCGGAGACGAAACGCTGCGCTGATCGCTGGCTTGGCGACCATGTTTTTGATCGTAACGTTCCATGGGGTTACGGTCCATGGGGTTGCGACGGTCGTAGTCGGGTGTCGCAAGTGGTGATCTCGCACGGGGTCTGCCTCCTTGAACAGCTGGATCATCTCGAAGATCCACAGATGGCGGTGCGCGGCGGCTCGAGTATGGGTTCGTCAGGGGTTTCTGGGATGGTGGCGGCATACCGGGGGATTTCATCGCCTCCATGGAAGACTCGATGTCGTTCATCAAGTTGTCGAAATTGGTCACATCGGAGGGATTTCGACGTCCTCGCGGATTCGCCGGGCTAGACTGTGAGCTGCTCTGAGAACTGGCCTGACGACCATGGCTGAACATGGACGCCCCGGACGACGTAGAAGCGGAGGGAGTGTGATACGGGTTCGATGAACCAAACTCGCTCGCCAGATCCACCTGTGGCACGCCGTCCCTTCCAGCTGTTGTCGGGCGCAGAAGACTTGTTCTCGGTGGTGGTGCTCTTGAAGTGTCAGGCCCCATGGAAATCTTCCTCTCATGCTCTCCGCCGCTCGGCTGTCCTCGAAGTCTGTCAGATCGAGTGGGAGGTGCTGAAGGCGTTCTCAGAGGCGGCTCGATGGGTTCGCTAGGTCGCGGGAAAGTACCTGCGCGGCTAACGTAGGCTTCAGGTTCAATATCGTCTGGGGTTGTTCCTGGCGGTCCGAATCCTCCATAACCATTCTTTCTTGGTAGTCTTGGTGGCGCAATCCCACCAGCGTTGCTGCTTCCAGAAGACATGAAGGAGTTGCTGGATGCTGAAGTCAGTGGCCGGTCGTTTGTCATGTTTTCATCCGGGGTCAAAGAGTCCTGTTTCGATGGGGCGAATGCGTTCTTTGTTGCTCCTCGACCTCCCGCTCTCCTGCCCATCTCGAAAGGCCCTGGTGCGATCGTGTTCATACGCTGAAGAAGACTGGGCGCTTGCTTCTTTTGTTCGCCCGGGTACGTCTGTTCAGATCCGAAGTCGTCACCATCGTCGAAAGCCCCGTATCCTCCAGGTCGTCGAGATTGCTGGTTCGAGTTGTAGTCGTTTGCGATTTGCGGTTGGAAATAGTCGTCGTTTCGGCCCATAGCCTGGCTGTTTGGAGTTTTGGGTGAGATGCTAATTGAACCAGTCGATGTGCTTATAGGTGTTAATTGACCCTGTCGCGAATATGGGAGATCTATTCTTGTTAGCTAACTACGCTTGAGGAGTGAAGATGAGTTTATCGGCATACTGGCGGCACTGGTGTCTAGTGTTGGAGGTGCCATGCGTCCGTACTTGTTGTCCAACGGCGGCGGCTGATCATATGATCCTAGGCTGTCTGGACGATCTGGCGGCGCCGATGCTGTATATGGTGTGAGTTTGACTCATCCGGTAGTAGATTTGAGTGAATGTGAATAGCTTACGCTCTGCTCCTGGGCCGCCGCAGATGTGCTCGCCCATCATGGAGATTTCCACATCGAGACCGCATGACGAGCATTTGATAGCCGGCATAAAGCTCGACTCCCTTGGTAAGGCCATTGTGGCTGGTGATCCTGTTGTCCTTCTTGCAAAGACGACCAAGCTCTCCGATTTTCACTAGAGGTATATCGTCTGTACTCCCATGCGCATTTGAGGCCGCATCAAGCTGATTTCCGTAGGCGCAGTCTGCAATCCAAATGCGGATGTGGCGGAAGAATGAGGGCAGCGGACGGGGCAACGGGGGCAAGACGGCTCTTGAGTGTTTCTAGAAAACGAAAAAAAGGGCGGCAGTGACGTGAACTGACGTTGTCCCTGGAAGTTTAATGGTGGTGGGACGCACGATCGCGCCTTGTTTCCAGCTGAAGATCGGAAACTATGTGGATTTACTGTGACGGGGTGGTGGACGACTGGAACCCCCCGTTGCAGTTTGCAGGCGAACTCCCAGGCGCGGGTGTGAGCGGTGTATGGGTAAACCGTGAGCGATGGTGAGAGTGAGCGTGTGACCAAGCGGTGTCTGAAGGTCTTTCTTTTTGGAGGCGGAGCGCTTCTGCAGAGTCGCACGAGTCCCGGGATCTTGGTTGCTGTCAAGGATGCAGTGTAGGAGCGTGTTTTGGGACCAGCGCACCTGTGAAGAAACACGAGCTCCAAGTAAGTGCAAAGTCGACTCTCGAGGGTGTGAAAGACTGTGTGTGCTATTGCTGTTGTAATGGTAAGAGACGGAAGCGGGACGGGATAAGCTGGTCTGAGTATGAGTCGCTTGGGGAAGAGATGTTGCGTCTCACGTCTCGGAGTTGGGAAGAGGGTGTCGGGACATTTGGTGGATTTGGGAAGCAAAGGAGACGTCCTTGAGCGTCTCAGGGCCAGTAAAGAGAGGCGACCCCTGTTCGTGGTGTGGGTGGTCAGAGAGAAGCACAGACAGTGGCTGTCGAGCAACCCCTGGCGGCCTTGTCCGGCTCATACCAGGTTGGGCCTGGCGGTTGACGAGCATCAAGCAGGGATCTGGGGTGTTTGCATGGTGCATCTCTCTGTGCGCAAAGGATAGAGCTGGGTCCGAATGGGGAGGAGGGGCGGAGAGAACACACACACAGAGACACCTATCCGAGGACTGTAAGGTATCCGTAAGGTAGAAAGAGGTTCTATGTGATGGAGAAGTGTCGGAAAGACTGTAGTTCTACCACCTTGACTCCTTGAGTGCGACTGAGACTGAGACGAATACACAGGTGAGGTGATGTGATGTGATGTGATGTGTGCCTGGAGGAGGACATGGAGAGACGAGACGAGACGAGGAGGGGCACAGCAAACACATCATCGAGGGATTTGCGAGGATTTACAGTCCTTGCCCGTTGTTTAGGCTTTAGTCGACTGGTCCATGTCGAGGATCAATCGTGACAGTGGGATTACGCAAGGAGCAGACTTGTTCACCTGCGACAGAGGGACGGTCATAGAAGGGATATAATCATAAGGTAGAATGAGAGGAGACGGGCCAAGGGTCCAATGTCCGATGGCATGCCGCTTGCATCGGTTTTGGACTGTGATGAAGGGTTCAAGAGATGCTCCTTAGACGCAGACCAGTCTACCAGATAAATTGTCATAGATGAAGAGGTGAGGAAAGGGACCTGGGACGGCGCGGGGTGGATCAGCAAACCACGGCGTTTTTACCCTGCAGAGGCAATCATCCTTTCTCGATTCTCTCTCACCTGCATTCTACAGTTTTTGTCTTGTCCACATCGGGGAGGAGTAATCAACTCTGACTGTGGTGATTGGAACCACCTATGGAGTACTCTGTAGGGTATGGATTCCTGAAGTGACTTGTCCCCAGTGCTACCGCATTCTGAGGGAAGAAGAACAAGGCAAGACCAAGGTATGCGATGCAGGCGATGGGCAGCGATGCCACATGGGGAGGATGATGACCGCCTTCCCCAGTGTTCACTCGTTTCAGGTCCTCTTCCCAGCAATCTACAAGCAACAATGAAGGGCAGCGGCGGATGGACAAAAGGCGCTGTTCTGCCGCATGCGAGCATGCCTCATCCCTCGTCGCTCACTCAAGCTGAGGGTTGGTCGGAGAATTGTTCAAACCCTTATTCTTATGAGTGCATATATTTGTCATTAGGTAAGGTACGTATGGACGCACACCTCAGGTGAGGCCGCAATCATGGTGATACCTGCCTCGGAGTCCCCTAATTATCTAAGGTGCGGGATGCTACAGGAAACATGGCATCCATACTTGGAGCTACTATCCGCACCTAAACTAGTCGCGCAATAAGCCCACTCATCCCTCTATATCCAGTCCATATTTAGAGACTGATGCAACTCAGCATGAATATGCTTTTTCGGAATCCGGCGAAGGTATGATTTTAAATATGAATGATGCCGTCCGGGATGAAGTGGGAGCGATGTGGGAGACCCGGAACCGATGACGGTTGAACCGTTGCAAGAAAATGTAGAAGCAAATGCAGCGTTGTTGACTTGCCAGTGACGAAAAAAGAAAGGAGAAGGAAGCATTTGCGGAATTTACCAAGTTCCCGACCGGCTCGAATTGGCGACGAATACGACCTCGTCCTAATATGGTTCTATTCATCTCTGTCAAATTTTAATCAACACGAACGGCATCGCCCAAAAGAGTTCGCTGCGTTCTGGCCTTGCAATCGAACCCTCCTTTTTTTCTTTTTTTTTTCTTTTGTGAATTCTGTCGTTCCTTTCAACTATTGTAGAACCTAACGTAACGCGCCCTGTTTCCTCGACTGACCAGTCACAATTGGAGAATCATGAATGTAACCTTTTGGTTATTCTCTCGCTCTTTCTCTCATTCTGTCGCCTCACGCGGGATACACACCCGGGTCAGTTCCTTCCCGCTCCAACTTTGCTCTTCTATTTGCAGGGCAGTCACCACCTCAGTGCTGCACTTGCGCTTTCCAGGCTCGTACCTGCAGCCAGTGAATTGGAGGGCCGGGTACCTTGCAGGATAAGACGGTGGGGCCTCGTGGCCTCCACTGCCCTCCAGAAGCCTATCGTTGCTAGTGGCTTCGCTCCCCCCTGGCTAAACGGACCTTAAGAGCCAGCAATAGGTAATAATGGCCGGGCAATCCCACTCCGCTGTTATTAAGGTCCGGTCCATTCGTCTTAGTCACCACGGGCAATCACCACCACCTTGGTCTTTCCTCCTATGAATTAAGCAACAAGAGCAGGAGCAGAAGACATGGTGGATCTTTCCCGACGTGGGAGGTTTCTTGACTCCACTATGTGCCCTCGAGAGGAAGGACCTGCAAAATTTGACCGCAACTGGCACTGCTGACTGGTCTTCACTGCAACTGCAAGATGCAACCTGACTGTAAAGTGCGAACCATATCGGCCCGCAACTCTGTTGGTCATTGTCTGCGCTTTTGGCGGCTTCCATCCACCTGCCTTCGCCTCGTGCTTGGAACTTGGTGCCATTGACAAGCTCACGCTAGGAACCCTCGATCTTCGACGCTACTCCAGAGGTCCAGGGACCTGATCTCAAGCTCGCCCTCTATCATCGTCAGTTGCTTTGCGCTCGTTCATCCATCACGTCCGTCACGCTCTGTTGCCAAAACGGCGGTTCGCTGTCATGACTGTCAGTCAGGCTGTCATCACCCGCCTCTACTCAACCGCCAAGCTGTCACATATCAAACCACGGGCCTTTTGCACCGGCGAAGGCGAACGATCAAAGCCCAAATATCGTCATCAACCTTTAGCGACGTTGCTGTCGCTCGGCCTTGGACTATATCAGCCTCCTTTAATCGTCTCAGTCGTCGTGGAGACTCACAAGTCATCGCTGAACCCTCCATGCTCAGACGCGTGTCATTGGAGCCCCCAAACGTGAAAACTCTGGTTCACGTCATCTCTGCTAATAAGAGGCCCGGTGCAATCAGGCTGCGCTGTTCGATTTGCAAAGTTCCAGCACCGGATGCCCGAAGAAACACGGCGCCCACAACTAGGCATTGTGTAGCATGGAATGTGGCCGCATTGTATGGAGAGTTATCGGCATTGAGCAATCCCCGCCGAATACTGCGACAGCGACTCCAATGCCCATGCACCCGCGCCCGTTGAACCAACCGCCAAGCGGCATCCAGTGGGTGAAGTGGACACTATTCTCCGCCGCTGCTCGGTCCAGGCTCCAGAAAATGCAGAGCATTTGGACCCGGGGTTGAACGGAGCCAATATTGGTCGCCAGACGGGGTCTCGGGGGAGGGTCTGCAGCAGGTTACCGGCTTTCCCATGCACTCGCGGCTCGCCTTGCTATGCTGCTCCGTACCTTTTTTCTTCTTCAGGGAATCGCCCATCACACCGCAATTTAGCTGCAGCTCCAAGCCGCGTTGGCAGTTGCACAAGTTTGCACTAACGCTTCGGATTCTCTAACGCGCTCTGCTCACTTCCTGGCGCCCTGCTGCCCTACGCCTGAGGGCCAAACCGTACTACAGAATGTGACTTTTCCTCTCGAGCCTTGGCGATACAATGGTTCAGCGCCACAGAGCTCTTGTGCTCCAGCTGCGTAGGTAGCTCCAGATGCCGCATGGAGCTCTTCGTAGTTACGGCGGGCAGTGAACGAGACTGAAATCTCTGGTTCACCATCCAACGAACTCACTGGTCTGGACTTTCTGGTCTGACCACCCACCCAGTTCGCCCACCCCTGACCTGGTTCCACCTCGTCCCAAAAGAGGCTCCCTGTCTGCTTACTGGTTGATCATCGACCTCAGTGCTATTTCCTCTGGCCAAATTCCAGATTGTCGAGCATCGACAGCATCAAATCAAGACGCACGGGGCTGGGCAATCAAGAACGTTGCTGGTCACGGTGGAGGTTCATCTCAGTACCTTTGGGGGCCCCTCACCGTCATCTGACAGATCTTCGGCGGCAAATGAGGCCTGCCATTATCGACGGCTCCGAGTTCTGCCCCTCGTGGAGCCTTCTTAGACGCCGTGCGGGAGATGACACTGGCATTGAAATCGCACTTGGCCACTTACCAAAGGCCCGCTCTTGAACTGCTCGTCATTTGGATCGTCTCAGATCTGGTCAAGCGGGACTTACTGCGTCCAATAACTCATATTCGGCCCAATTGCTATCACACGAGATCAAAACCGCCGGTCTTGGAAGTAGGCCGCATTTTCTAATCTCAGCGGCCTCGTACCAGAGTATGAATATAGCGCCGAACGGGCGTGCTAAATACACCACCGTCGATTACCAAATCCAAGGCGCGACGCGACACGATCCGAGGCCCTTTAATCGTCACATCCTTCTAGAAATCTTGGAGAGCTCGCGTGACACTTTAGCTCGTTTCCGCAGGAACCCCCTATTGAGTGCAGCGCGCGCGGGAACATGTCGTCGGGAATGCGGCTTTCAGGTGGCCACACCGACTAATGCTGTCAGCGGCGCGGCCTGTCTATTATCACTCATCGCCAGCCTGTCTGTTGGTAGCTCGCTGATGAGGATCTCCAATCAGTCCGCCTATCGCTCAGATATCGCTTTCCCCCCCCTTTCCGCCATCAACCGAGTGTCTGCTAGAACTGAGCAGACCTTCCCAAGGAAAGGCAGGCCAACAGCAAGACGTCTGTAAAGAGAAAGTCACGCATTGAGTCCGTGGCTTGGCGTACACAGCAACGCCTCCAAACGAGATGTCGAGATGAAATCGAGTCAGCCGGCTCAAGGTCTAACTACTCCTCGCTCCGAGCGCTAACCCCTCGACTCGAGACGTCGGAACATGGACACAGCCTGATGCCGTCTCGCCTCTCCGTTCAGTCCAGAGTTACACGTTTCTGTTGAGCGGCACGCTGGCATCACCCCTGTCTATTTCCAAAACGTGCGGGACACATTTCAGATCTTCGAACCTGCGACCGTGACAGGCTGATCCTCTCTCTCGTCGTTACGTTGCAGGCCGCCCGTATACTGCACTTTGCGCGCAGTGAGTCGTTCCTAGGGCGAGAGCGTCATCGGCGTCTCACGGATGCCAAAAAGGTTGCCAAAAGCTCTTTGCGGAGCTGGTAAAAAAGATTATCGACGTTGGCCTGATTCGAACAGACGCTCCCGAAGGAACATGATTTCTAGTCATGCGCATTAGACCACTCTGCCACAACGCCGGGTCATTGGATGACAGCTCTGGAAGAAGTCCACAGTAAGGAGGGTCTCAAGCTAGGCCCTCGCTACTGGTCTCCGACCCCGCCAGACGCTCGTCACTGCGGGGCATTCAGACATACCTTCCTTCAACATGCTTCATCCGAATGACAATCAGGTGGTGTTTGAGGATGTGCTTGATCTTTGACTTTTGCTGATTTGCGTTGGTGTAAGCGATTCTTATTTTCCGACCTGCTCTAGGTTGTTATCATCGCCTTATGTTGGAAGGAGTCACGCGGTGGTAAGATATGATGGCCGGGTTTTAGACTTCCCCTACACCAAAGAAGCGGCCATCATCTAGGTATTGCCACTGCGTGGGAGTTTAAATCGACGCCGCGAAGGTTCTTCTCTGCAGTAGAGAGCGGGTTCAAGAGTTTAGGTTGTTGGTGTGTTCCCGGATATTGCTATAGTTCCGCTCCCCGATTGACTGCCCATTGTCCAAGTTGGCTGCTTTTCATGCGTTTGTTAGACTCTTGGATATTTGGTGGTCTGTTTTGGAAGTTTTCGAGAGGAAGAGTTTTTTGGAGTAAATGAATCATACTGATTAGCTTCCGGTAAGCTTGCCTGAACTTTTGGCGCTGTTCATCGCAGGCGAGCCAGTGGTTGTTGGGGACTGGCGATGAGGTGTTCGAGGACGAGGTCGAGGCGGTTCCTTGCTTTTTGTTTCCGAAACTTTGTGTTGATATCTTTGTTTGTGTAGATGACGGAGCTTGTAGGAATCTACGGTGAATCCGCCGATAGCGACGTGTAAGCATTTGGTACTGATCAGTATCCTGATCAGCCACCTTCTTTTACTCCTTTTGTAGCATGCAGAGATCAATTCTATGTAAATTGTTTCCTCTGTGGCAACTTGTTGCATACCTGACAGAGGTACGCAACAGGTGCCCTCCAGTGTCTGGACTTTTGCGCTATCGATCTGTGCGTATGTGGCTCTTTTGGGGACTTCACTTTGTGTTCTGCCAAATATCTCTGCGTGTTTTGTTCCTACCTGCGATACGATGAAAGAAACCCCCCAGCTGAATGAAGACTCCTTACGGCTCTCGGGTCCTGGCGGTGTAATGGCTATGTATATATATTGTAGCTTGAGAAAGGAGCGAGTGTGGAGTTCAGAGTCAATTAGTTGACGTCACGCCAAGTGGACAGGCGTCATGTCGTTGATGATCATCCTTCCATTGGCAATGTTTTTTCTTTTCGAAGAGACACATCTAATCGGCATGAATCATCAAGTCCAGTCTCCCATGAGAGCTGATAGTGATGTAGAAGGGCTCCTCAGCTCTTTCCAAGTATTCCGGGCCTGTGCCAGTTGATCATTCTAGCACGTACGTAGTTTTGAAAGGAGCCGAGTTGCGGGTCAATGCCTCCAGAAGCCAACTAACAGAATCATGAACCAAATCCTCGATTACAGTGCAAGTCTCTCTAGTTGCTGCAGCGGCAGACGCAGAGATATTGCCGTGGCTTCCTCGTGGGCATGGTGAGGTATCTGGACAACCTAATTATGGTACTCCATCGCCGACGGTTAGGAACAGATCGCAGAGATTCAATTCGAAGTCGATCTCGAGTTGGGCAACTGACTCGCTAGCCTTGTGTGTGTAGCGTTTTCTCTCGCCCTCGGTTAGGGGGTTCTGCGGCATGTGGTTGTTTGAAGGCTCGCACTGAGAACGACTCCTTGGTCTGCGGATGTTTTTCTCGAGCTGGCGGTTATTCGATGTGGTATATGGATCTGGTGGGTGAGACTGATCACGGAGAAGGGCGATTGAGATCTGCTCTAGGCTGGTATTCTGTACACCATCTAGGGGATCTTTGCTCTATTTGACGTCAAGCACCAGTGCCTGTACTACGGCACCCCTTATCAAGCCATGGTCAAGCTTGGGTCTGAGGTTAAGAATTTACTCTCCCTCAATGGTTTTACGATACAAACGGGGACACCTAGAATACGTTTATAGTGGCGTCGAGAAATTTCCTGCTGGGGCGATCGACAAGTAACGTAGTAACATAGATGCCCTTCGTCACGGTTTATTCAGTGTTCGTATACTGTCGATGCCTTGAGAATGTTTCCCCCCTATCTTTTTGGCCAGCGAATACCTTGATCTTTTTTTGAAGTGACTTGAGCAGGGCCAAGGATTGGTAGGCTCATATGGGGAGTTTTTTTTTTTTGAGGAATTTCCCTTGAATCTCTTTGATTGTGCTGCCAAATTTCCTGCTCTCCATTACTCGAGGCTAGCTTCGTTGTAGCCGTGATGATTCGGGCTTTCCGATGGAGATGACTGATAGCTGGCAGAGACAGTGCGTGGAAGACGTTACAAAGATGTCAACGATGATACAATCGGAATGTCGTAGAAGTTTCCCCTGTGTGTTTTCAGCAAGGTAGTCATTTGACCAAATACGACATTGTTGTTGGGTTAGGTGCTGGTCAGGACCATACAAGAGAAAGTCGGTCACTGAGTAGACCTGTTTCAGATACTTCGGATCCTTCGATAATATCTCTTGGCTTGGATCAATTCGAACCGATTACGATGTCTCGGCACCGGAGAACCGCAATATCGTCTCCATTCGCCGTGTCTGAGTAGCCAGACTGGCTGACGTTGTCTTAGTAGACGATGTGGTAGATCAAAATACTCCAGGACTACATGATGGCTTCTAGCTGGGTACATGCTTGGCTCCCTCCTCGTCTGAGAAATGATTGACCTTCACCCGCCCTTCATTACATATACTGAGAGATAAAACCTCCGTCGTCCTCGGTGAGCAAATTTGACATCTACTCATCATCGACTCTCTCCGCATCCGTCTCTCTCTCTCTCCTCGGCCTTCTTTCAGTGGGGTGGCGCATCGGGATTATTCATCCACTCTTCAAAACTCGGATATCGCGTCGGCCACGGCTTCGGCGGCGCTGGTGGTTTGTTTGCCTTCTTCTTCTTCTTGTGCGGCTTGTGTTTGTGTGGCATGAGCGGGTTATGGATTGGGTAGTGCCAGCCCGGGTCCGGATAGACTATCTTGTATGTGTGTCTGATCTTCTTCCCCTTCTTCTTCTTAGGCTTCGGTCTGGAGCGGGTCGGTTTCTTGGGGGGCTCCTCCTTGCTCCTCATCCACGGGTGCTCGTCCGTGGTGAGGTGAGGCTCTGCCATTAAGGACCCTCCGCTTCCGAGGTCGGGGACCTCGAGATCTTGTTTGAGGTGCTCTGTTTCGACGGTGTTGAGGTGGGTTGGGTTAGGGGCGACTGGGGTGGCGATGACGGAGAGGGTGGCTAGGAAGCCGGCGAGAAAGAGGGAGGTACGCATCTTGCGTGTTGACTATGTCGAGCCAGAGCTCTCAGTTGGCACGGTGGTAGTTTGTTGAACGCTTGGGGATGAAGTCATTCCGGAGTTCTCCCTTGTTGACGATGCTATGCAGACTTGTGCCGCATCAGGAGATGGCAGACTTCACAAGCCATGTTCACAGGGAGAACGCTTGATGGTTGGCTTTATGAAGCAGAAGACACGTAACCTTGCGAGTCTGTCACGCGGTGGTCTCGTAGGCAAATTAGGCCTTCACCGGTTGCACTTTTGACTTGTCGTTACGGTTGACTTTGAGGCTGAGGTAGCTCCAAGGGTTAGGTCAGAGTTAACACCCGTGTATCATTCTTTCCCGTGTCAGAAGACTCTATCTTGCAAGGTCACTCTCACCCTGGCAGATCACTCCAGTCGGGCCGTCAATGATTAGATACCTTTATAGAATCCTTTTTGGGTTGATATCATTGACAGTGTTCTTCATTTCCTATCAAAAGTATTGTGTTTAGCAAATGAGTGTAAGATACTCGGCTGCTCTCAATATTTACCTCCTCAAATAAGTCGAGGCCGTTGTGGCGAGAGAACAAATGATGACCGTCGATTTCTCTTGAAATCAGTGAGACAACTTCCTAATTGAGTCTGGAGAGAAAAGCGCTGATATGGCGGAATCCTCCCACGCCACCCAACCTTGATGATAAGCACTAGAGTCCCAGGTACCCGCCTCGGCCAACTAACGCGTGGCACAGTCGGGAGACGTCAAAAAGGTCCGTCCAGGTCTATCAACGACCCGGCGAAGTTCATCCGAAGCACATCATCGACAACGTTGAATTCGTCACTGTGAAACGAACCTTTCACAAGACCTTGTGAGCAACCCACTTCTTATTTTCAATGCAGGCTTCAGCACCAATGGAAATGGCGTCGCAGAATCAGCCGGGGTCATCATCTACGGATCCGGACCCGGAGAGTTACCTTAACGACCCTCGATTCCACCAGTCCTTCACCTTGGCCCCCGGCTCCGACCGCCCGGAAAACTTCAAGGTCACGTTTTGCGACTACGGTTATCGCAATCTAAAGAGTCCGGAGCGCGAACACGTGTTGCTACTCTGCGGTCCCCTCCTGGGCAGGTAAGCCACTCATCTCACCCATCAAGCCCCTCACATCACGGCACATATCACCGCTCAAGGACTAACACTCAAAAACTCAGCCGCTACCTTCACATAGCCAAAGACGCTCTAGCAAAGAAACACAAGGTCCGCGTAATCCACGCAGACAGACCAGGCTTCGGCGGCACAACCCACGTCGACGCACAAGACCGCGTCCGCCTCTGGCTCGAAATCGTGCCCGCCCTCCTCGCGCACCTCTCTATCCGCCATGTCTCTCTCGCCGCCCACAGCGGCGGCACAATCTACGCTCTCAATACGATCCTGCACCTACGTCACCTTCTCTCTCCCACGCATCCGTACTTGGCTCTCGCTGCGCCGTGGGTCCATCAGTCCCGCTCGGGTGCCGCGCTCATGACGATCGCGGGCGGGCTGCCAGAGACCGTGCTGGGCGGCTTCCACACACTGGCCGGGTTCTCACTGAAGCATGTTGCGCCCATGTCGGATGCGGTGGGTGGCTTCTTTTCTAATATGCAAACTGTGAGCGGGTTGTTGCTGGCGTCGATGCGGACGGGCTCTGCTGCTGATCATACGCATACCCCTGCGGCGGAAGCGAATCCCATGGCAGAGTTTGAGGAGAAGATTTGGCCGCAGCTCATGCAGAAGGTATGGTCTGAGGATACGAGAGGCCTCAGCCAAGACGCCATCTTGCTGCTGAAGAGGGCGGGGCACTCGGAGTACTGGGGTTCATGGAAGGACTATGACGAGCTCGTCACCCTGCTGGCGGAGGCTGAACACAATCTCGATGCTGGCGTCGTGGAGGGCGCTTCGAAGCTCAAGATTGACGTGTTTTGGGCGGAGGAGGACCAGATGATTGGTGTTGATAAGGGGCCGAAGTGGTTCGAGGATTGCTGGAGGGCTGAGCAGCGCCGTGATGTGATTGAGTTTGATAGTCATGTTGTTCCTGGGACCGATCATGATACTATTATGGAGTTGAAGTTTGATGTGTTTGAGAGGATTCTACGCAAGGTTGGCGGGATGAGCGAGGAAGAGGATTCTATATTGCCATCTGCGGCATAGGATGAGATGGACTATATGATTAGAGTCGTTGGGTAGTTTCCAATTTCACCCTGAGAGACACCCTTGTAGTTGACATGTTTGCCGCGATACCGGAATCTTTGCCAACGCTCTTGATTAAGGTTCTTGAGCCATCACCCATTGGTTAGCGAAACCCAAGAAAGAGGCTTCCCCAAAATCTAGAACTCTGTCCCCACACATGCCTAGATTTGGGCAATACATCAGACGACATAGAGTTCGTGGCAACTAACCGAGAAGCCTTGGGGAAAAGTCCAGAACTCCCGAGCTCTCAGGGTACCACGAGGTAGCCGTTTTCGACCTCGGCAGGCGGAATATGGGAGCCGGTCCTATGGAGTCTGCGGAGAAGCCTTTTGCAGTTGCTTAAGCTATCTCAGGCTCAAAATGATTGCAGTGCTCCAAGCGCAGTCTGTAGAGCAGTTTTTCAACAGCTTCACATTAGCGAACGATCATGGAATTGGACAACGGTTATGAAGCCCCCGACACGCTCTCTCTTGACAATTATCAGGCGGATCAAACATTGATGGTCAAAAACTTGTTGGCTGCCCCGCGCGTTGAGGACCCTGTTACAGCCCAAACAAGGTATTCCGAGCTAAGCCATCACTCAAAGGTTCGGCATCTCGTGATCACGCGCTGAAGAGTACGGTGTAGATCGTATCCTTGGACATTGTGCTAGGATTAAGCCCTAAAAGATGTTGGGGTAGCGCTTGCTTCGGTAACAACTGTATGTCCTTGTTATGCTGTGTCTTCACAGGTCCCTCCAGGAGCTGCAATAAGCCAACGACGACAGTTTTTAGCAATGTTCTTTTACAATAATTTCAATGGTGACGGGAAAAAACAAGCAAACTTGAACATAAATGTTTCTGCACCGGAGAATAAGTCGTCGTAGCCCGCTTAATCACAATTACACCGGAGCGTTGAAGGACGTTGCAGTTGGGGAGTCCGAGACAGTGCGTTCCCCGCGGTCCCGCCCAGCCCAACGGGGGAAGCCCAGCAGTGTGGAGCTAGACATTGCTAAGCTTCGATGACAACTGTTAATGACCCCGCCACATTATCGCCGGCGGCCCTATCAGACTCCATCAGACCCCATGCGCCGAGGCCCGGTGAAGGACACGGGCCATATCTAAGCCGGAAGCTTCCCCCAAGCTCCCCTCCTCTCACCTCACCTCAACCCCCGAACTCACAAAGCTCATGAAAGTCGTAGCTTACTCCGACCTCAACTCAACTCAACTCAACCTGTTCCCGCCCTTCCTCCATACGCCACTCCCCAATCCATACACACAACAACTCATTAACCTCTCAGACACTTTAAAGGATTTCAACCAAGAAACAAACCCAACTCACACCGTGTGTGACATCAACACACTCGCAACACAATGCCGCCAACCACACTCACAACCCCCCTCACCCTCCAAATCCCCGCGGAACCCCTCACCCGCACCGCCTTCGCCCCCTTCGGCGATGTGATCGAGAATCCTCATCCGGAAGTCCGCCCCGCCGCCTCCCTCCCCGCCACCGTATCCGCCTCCTTCAGCGCCATCTCTGCGAACCAAGGCACAGCCATCAAATACCAAAACGTCTCCTCGCCACTGGACCTCTACCCCCAGGCGCCCTCCCGCTCCGGCCGCCCCATCGTGAGCATCTTCTCCTGCGCCGCACGGCAGCTCGAGCCCGCCGCCCCCGCGGCACAACCACCCATCTCGACCCTGCTGCCGTATACCTACGCCGGTCCCAGCAGGGGAGGACGCTTCAGAGTCAGCGTGCTGGAAAGACACCCCTTCACGACACAGACGTTTGTCCCCTTTTCCGCTTCTTCGTCGGTAGCAGGCGCAGCGTACCTCGTTATCGTAGCACCTACCCTCCCGACCCCCAGCGCGCAGACAGATTCCCTCCCGGCCCCGGCCACGGGCGGCAAAGGCCGTGGTCTGCCCGACATCAAGGGCCTCAAGGCCTTTGTGGCTTCCCCAGGACAGGCCGTAACCTACGGCGCGGGAACGTGGCACGCGCCCATGGTTGCGCTGGGACCCCAGGGCACGGCGATCGACTTTGTCGTGACGCAGTTTGCGAGCGGCGTGGGTGTGGAGGATTGTCAGGAGGTGGAGTTTGCGGGCGCGGGCGAGGAGGCGGGCATCGTGGTGCAGGTTCCCGAGAGGATGCCTGTTGTTGCGAAATTGTGAGCGAAGCGTATCGGATGGGGACTGAGAGGTGCTTGAGGGCGAGCAGGTCAACGGCTGGTGTTAAGGGCGTTCCCTGGTTTGGCGAGGCTATGAAGGCGGGTGGCAATTGGTGACGACGCGCGTGTGTACGATGTCTATCCAGCAAGGGAAAGGAAGCTAGCCTGAGTGCAAGGCGGCGCCTCTGGGTGATTGGGTAAAGGGGCGATAAAACATGCTAGAAATGCCACCAAACTGATCGTGAATTCATGTAGAAGCTGACACTTACGAGGATATGGGATCTTACAATCTTTGAATCATGTCGAGAAACTGTTCCGCCTTGGCTCTCGTGATCTCGCCGTAGGTAGGTGATTGAGAACTACGCGACGCTGTGCTGGTGATCAAATGATCTTTGGAATTTTTTCTTGAGCTACCTTGCCAATCTCGAGCCCTGCAAACAAACCAGATCCGTTCCACTTGGTCGACATCGGCCTTCCATCTTGGGCCGGTCCAAACAAACGTGATGCACTCTCACAAAGTTGAGGATCCCCCCTGAAAATAATTTCCCAGACCTCCCTCTCCAAACCTCCCGAACCAAGCAAACTCGAAAGTCGTGACCCTTGCCAAAACTCTCATAGCGTGAAAGAGACACCATCAGACTCTTGTAGTCGATACGTCCCTTCTCAAACCACCATCTTCTCCCAAATCTCCATTCCATGACTGTTATTCGATTGTACGTTGTAATCTATGTTGCCGCCCTCCTGGGTCGCTATTCACTTTTCGTACTCCTCGAATTCCACGGAGCGCAGAAGCTTCTCAACCGATGCAATCTCCAAGTACGGACGGAAGTACAGAGGAAATCTCGCGTCCTTGGTCTGATCCTCGAACGGGATGGGAATCCGTCCATGCTCACCGAAGTTGCAGATGCGGTTGCCATGTCTTTTGTTGAACAGATCAAACTCAAGAGTCGCCGGGGTAATGAAGTGATAGATAAAGACTGGCCGCTTCTGTCCGTGTCGAATGAGACGTCCCTTGGCCTGTCTCATGTACATGTCGTAGCTGTCCGAGTCTGTAAACAGAACTCCAGCAAATATGATGTGATTCGCCTCGGTCAGATTGGTGCCAGCGGACTCCGAAGACATGAGACTCTGGATCAGAACGGCCTTTCCATGATGCGCCTTGAATTCGTCGATAGTGTCCGAGTCCTGGTCGCTTCCGTCGGTCATGTAAATACCAATGTCATGTGCATGGACGCGAGACAAGTAGTCGTAGACCTCTTTCTTGATGCCTGCATACGCAGCAAAGACCAAGGCCTTCTCGTCGCCATGGACATTGTTGGTAATGACGTGATCAATGTTGTGGAGCTTCGCGCTTGGAGTTGCCGAGATATCGTTCTGCAGAGTCGCGGGCGCGGCAAACATCTCGCCGGGCATAAAAGAGCCGCGACTGAATGCCTTGCAGCTTTGAGCAGGACACTTCTGATTTCCAGCCTCAGTAAAAGTGCCAAAGCACTCCTTGCAAAGTGAGTGACCGCATGCAATAGAATGGAGACTGTCGGAATCAGAAGCAACGCGATCACAAACGTTGCAGGTGATGGGAAGCGTTCCATGCAGAACGTGGTCTAACTTCATCATAAACATACACCGCCGCCATGCCTCCATCGCGAGCTTGATACCAGCCTGAACGCTCTGCACAACCGATATGAGACTGTTTAAAGTCTCATCAATGGCCTGTCCTCGGGGCTTGATCGTCTTGCCCTTTTGTGGTCGGTGAGCTGGGATCTGGATGCCGAATTCAAAGTCGTCCTTCGTAGCTTTTCCATCGAAATGCTTCTTGAGTCGAGCTGCAATATCGCCAGTTGTCTTCAGTCCGAGGGCCAAAGCCGTTTCCTCGCTATCATCCTTGCTGTCCTGCTTTTGGCGAATGATGTTGATGAGGGCCTCTCGGGTACCGACTTTGCCATCGGCAGGGACAATCCACCGCTCCCGCAAGCTGGCCAATTCACCATCAGACAAATCGTGATTCGGGTCGAGGAGCCACCAATCGGCAGAATTGTACGTTCCAGGGCCTCCCAGCCACTCGGACCAGTTCTTGTAGTCCCAAGGGTCTTCTCGAGTAGTGGCGTAATCTTCGCGGCTTCGGTGGACGATCGCATGATTGAGAAAGTTGATGAACCCAGTATCATCGGAGTCGCCATTGGCGTTTCTCATAAAGTCGCAAATATCTTCTATATGGCCAGAGTAGGCATCTTTCTTGGTCTTGGAGCTAGCGCTTGCGTCAACCTCCTTAGAAACCATGTTCGCCAGGTACATCATCTGGTCAAAAAGGGATACCAAAATCTGAATGCAATGGCTGAGGTGAACACCAGATGCAGCAGAGGCTTCATTGCTGAGACCCTCGAGACTCAAGTCCGCGTTGGGTTCTGTCCACCCCATCTCCTCGAAACCGTTTCGGCTGAATGAAACGGACAACGAAGACAGGAGAAGTAACCCGTCAACTGCATCGGACCACATAGATTTTCCGGCAGCTTTAACCTTCGAACCGGCACCCTGAATCATCTCTTCGTCCAATATGGTGCGAAGGAAAACACCGAGACCGCAAGGCATGCTTTCAACGTCCCACTTGGCATCATGAAGGGCCCGCTGTACAAAGTTGTATACAAAGGCTTCTTGGTGGTTCATGGGAGTGAAGAAGACCAACTCATCCATCTCCACGCCCTGAACATCCGTCTTGTTCTTCCGCAGGTAGTGAAGAAGGAACTTCTCTCCTTGCTCATGGCGATCGGCCGCGAGCTGAGCGGACAAGGGCTCTGTGTAGCTGCGGAATGCTTCGGCGTCAGTCAGCTCGGATACCTTGGGCCCAGTCGTGACATTGGGGAAAAATCCCGGCATTGATGATGTTGGTCGCGCAACATGGACATTGAGCAATGCTGCAGTCTCGCAGATCTGACCAAGATTGATGGTAGGCGGTGTACCTGAGAGGACCCATTTCGAGGACGCGACAGCGTTTTGGAAGAAGGCTGCAACGGATGTGTTCTCATACGAGAACTCATCAAAGACAACGCGGTGGTAGGTGTACATTTCGAGTACCTCGCCATTCTGGAAGGCCTTCTTCACATCAATGTTGACGACCGTCTTGGGCTTTGCTACCTTGCCCTTCTTCTTCTGCACCGTTTTGGCGGTCTGCTGCGTCTTGCGATCACTAGCTCCCACAGTGTTGGCCGCGGCCATCCGGACCCAATCATTGCTGTAAGTGCGGCGGTCTTGGATCCTCGCCTCGATATGGGCATTTCCTGGGTTATTGGAGTCCTTGTGATCAAAGGCGGCATGCTTAATGGTATCAACGATTTCGTAATGCCAGTCTTGGAAGTCTCGGTTCGACCTCTTCTGACGGATTGACGGCATCTTAGCGATTGCAGCGAGCTTGTCAATGTTCTTCTCGGAAGACATCAGGGTGCTGCTGACAATGATGATGTCTGCCTTTTCCATGCTTTTCCGTGAGATATCAGTCGTTTTGGTGAGCACGAGAGTTCGGAGCTGTTTAACGAATCTCTTGGCTTCTTTGGCCCACTGCGAGACGATGTGAGGTGGCACAATGACCAAAGTTGCCTTGATGTGGATGAACGACGTGGTCCCCAACCATTGAGCACGCTCCAGAGTGGAGAACTCTGCATCCTCGGAGCTGGTCGTGTAATCAACAAGACCAAGTGTAACTACAGTCTTGCCATAGCCAATGTCGTGGGCAAGGACACCTCCTCGGGCAGAATTCTTGAGCTTTGCAACCGCAGTCAAGCGCACGCTCACAGATGGAAGAACACGCTCCTCGAATTCCCTCTCGGTGAAGGTCTCGTCCTTTTCCCGGTTCATCATCCACTGACAAGCCTCGATCTGATCTGGACGCAAACTCATTCCATTCAGGACAAAGTTAGGTGGCTGTTTGGAGCGTCCGGCACGGTAGGCTCCTGCCTGAACAGCGCGCATACTGTCCTTGAAGGGGGACAGCCCCTTCAGGCTGGGCTCGAAATAGCTGAATTCCGCACGGAAATTGCCACTTCCGCGAGCTGAGCGGACCATGGGTGACATGACGTCTTTGTGAATCGGAAAGTAACCATGCGCCCGGTGCACGAGCGAAGCTGGGTTAAGCAGGATCTTCATGCTTAGCACATCGAGTCCACCAGCTTCATTCGGCTCCAGTCGGGCCTGGATCTCGAGAGGAGCTGGCCGTCGCAGCATAGCCTGCTCCGTTTGAGTCGCCAGTGCCTCGTTCTCGATTCGTACGACACTGCCATCCGCATCCCAGTGGTGAAGAGCCTTCGGAGCATTCGGTGAGCATCTCTGGCACGCATCACTGGAATTCAGCTTGATGTTATCGACTATAAGACGATCGGCACACGCTGATGCCGACAATTTGTTGATGGCCGATGACGTCAATGCCAACGCATCCTTGATCTCATGCTGGGCAATCGTGAACCAAACATCGGGCGAAGCTTCCGTGCTGTTCGTACCGAAAGGGGGCGTCAGCTGAGTCAGGAGCGACTTGACTGGAAAGTGCATGTCGGTTTTGTCCAATTTGATAACAATGGACGGGATTGAAGATTGACAGTCGACGTTTCTGATATGGTTCTGCTGCAGGTCGTTGAGGCCAACATAGAGGGCTGGATCACGCTCGTGGACGGTGATACCCAGGGCGGACGGCAAAGACGTGTACACTCCAGGCAGCGTGGCCGTAACTGCCAAGCCAAAATGCTGTTCCTCGTACATATAGTGCTTGAAGCCTTGGGGGAAAACGCAGATGATATCTCGAACTTGATCTGGCTCAAGTTTTCTAGGGTCCTTCGTCAAAACCCATCGGTCGGTCTCGGCAGCTCCATTGCAGTTGGTATGGATCATCATGTATACCGGGCCGAAAGAGTCGTTCTTGGTCAAAAGAAGCCCCAATGGGGTTGCGCACTTGTCAGTGAAGCGGTAATCTCCATTGATAACATTGGCGACGTCGTTCACTAGATGGGGTGCAACGCCGCTGAGGTCGACAAGCTGCTGATTGAAGCCATCGATTCTTGGGTCGTGAGCGCGTTCTTGAACCAGATCCACGTTGATTTGGTGTTGGACAAACAGCTTCTAGCTGTCCGCCGTAGGTATAATCTCGGCGTAAAGGTCCGTGATTACTGCCTTCAAGAGGGGCTGGCGAAGGTCGTAACCTAGAATAGCCAATCGAGCTGCTGCTTCGTTGGCTGAAATGTCGTTCTGAGTCGATGGATGCCCGAGTTCGACATAAACGGGTCTCAGGCGCATGTTCCAGGTAATGTCCTTGTTGGTAACGACAATGATGACGATGGACTTTTCGGATTCGTAAGTCACAGTCAGGTCGTCTCTGAACTTAAGGTCGGTCTGGTAGTAGTGAACTCCGCCTGCACAGGTCTGGATTCCGATGTGCAGAGCCTCGAGGTGGTTGCCAAAGGTCTGCTTATCAAGATCGCTGAGAATGTCGACACCTTGAGCGGCATCAATACCTGCCCAATCGATGTAGAGATGTGCTGGAAAGGCAGCGATCGCAAGCTCATGAGCGGTACTCCTGTCGATGGACATCTTGTCGTTGATGGGGTTAGCTTTATTGAAGTCGTGATCAGGGTTGCCCGCGCAGCTTTCGCAGCGCGTCTCATTGCAGTCCTTGCATCGCAAATAGACACCGGTGTTTTTATGCTTGCGGAAGGCATCGCAGCGACATTTTCGGCATCCATTGAGGCAGAGAGTGCAGAAAAACTCGACTGACTTATTGCCATCCCAGCCGTGGGAGACGATCTTCTGCCAAGCCATGGTCTCGCCGAGGGCGGTACGCGATGTACTGGAAGGAGTTGACAAGGCGAAAAGGGAGCGGTCGACTTCTTTGCCCTTTCTGGAGGAATATTTGGGGTTGGTTCGTTCAAGAAAAGGATTGTCGATGGCAAGAAAAAGATCCGAGAAATTGGAAGGCCCGGCCTCGTCAGACGAGGTGGAATGCACGCTGTTGGGCAAGAGCAGGGTGGGGTCGGGTTTGGCGAGGCCCTGCCAGTGCTGGTTGCCCGACTTCCTCTTGGACTTGAACTCGGCAACGATGGCACAGAGAATAGCTGCACCGGCCACGGTGGTCGTCATCGCGTTTCCGGCAAGGTCCTTGAGCTGATTCTCTCCCTCGACAGAAAGCGAGATGCGGTCAATGGGAATGCCCTGCACGGCGAGGCACTCGAGTCCCAACAGAGGTCGGCCATCATAAGAGAGGAAGAGATCCGCTGAAGGAAGGACACACGGAATGACACCTAGCCTTCCACTTTGTCGATCAACGTTCTGTCCGACGTCGAGGATGAACATTTTGTGGGTGAAATCGTAACCCCTTTTTTGCGCTCTCAGGTATTCAATGTCCAGTAGATCTTGCATGCGCCAAGTATACACTGAGATGACGCCCTGCCAGGTGTCCTCGCGGGGCTGAACATTGCCTCTGTCATCCATCCGAGTATACGGGTTCGACGCGCCGAGCTTCTCCTTTCGACGTGCGGCCCTGTGATCGGCTGCACAATGAACAGCCTCGACATCCCTCTTCGGCTTTGAGAGCAGCGCCCGCTCCAATTGGAATCGGGCCTGAAGAACGCGCGGGTCGGACGGGGGAAGTAAGAACTTTTGGAGGTCGGGCGGGTTCTTGAACCACTGCGTAATATCCATGAGCTTGGCCCAGGTATTAACGATCCCTTTGGCCTTGTTTCCGTAGTGGCGAGCATCCACTCCGATTAGATATTTTCTCTGCCTCGTTTGAGGGACCAAGAAATTCTTGGAGTCGACTTGGACGTACGCCGCCACGTATCCGATGCTTGGCAGCCAGAAGTCCTTGAATTGGTCCCAAGGGGCTCTTGTGACGTTTTCCAGAATGACAATCTTGGGCCGATGGGCGTGGGTATACATGAGAATGGACAGAAAAGTCTTGGTTGACTCTCCCTTCTCATCCTTGATGCTTTCGAAGATTTTCTCAAGACCATCAACGACTTCACCGGCCGTTAGGTCATCTTGTTGGATGGCTGAGACACCCTGGGTCTTGAATTGCTCAAAAAGCTTGTGGAGACCAGATTCCTTCTTCTTGTCGTTCTTGGCATAGTTCAGACTCGAAAAGTCGACGCAAGAGCTTCCAGCAATGAGGATATCGATTCCCAAGGGGATGTCGGCCATGGCTCCGGAAGCCGTCATGCTACATCATCGTCAGTGCATGAGATGACGCTAGCGAGAGGTGAATAACTTACGCCTGAGTAGCTCCGGGCATGCCAACGTCGACGACATTGCGAAAGATTGGGCCTGAAGGAGCTGCGTTGCGACCAATGAAGGCTTGCTTGAACGGGTCGATCTCAACGCTGAAGACATGGTCGTACTGAAGGAGTCCCGGATAGCCGCAGGCGGTGGCCGCTTCAGCGAACTCACGCAAAGCCAGTATAGGACCGTCCGTGCCGGAGCACATGGTCGCAATCCTGAATGACACGCCGCCGGCATCGAGAACCTTCTTGAGGCCGAGCTTCAGTGCCTTGTCGAAGATGATTGGAAAGGCGTCGCGTGGGCGGTTCACAGATCGCTCATCCATGACCATAACATGCTCTGCGTCATCCATGACGGACTGAGGAACTGACTGTGTTCCGGGTCTTGGATTTCCTAAGGCGGACTGGGATCCAGAAGCTAAGGGAGCCGTAAAAGCCGGGTGAGGCACAGAAGCAGAGTGAGACGTAAAATCCGAGTGGGACGCCGAAGCTGGAAACGGTGTTAAAGCTGAGGGAGGGTCGGGATTCACGTGAGAGTGATGGTTCGTGCCGAGTGAATACGCCGGCTGCTGGGGCGTGAAATCCGAGGGATATTCAGCAAAGTTCGAGTGCAAACTGTGCATGTTTGGATCCACCATTGATGGCTGTTGCTGGGTTTCGGAGTATATCTGATCGTCATGATGACCATGGGTGCTGGGTCCAGCCAGGACATAGCCTGAGCTGAAGCCGTGACCATGCAACGAGGCTTGGCTTTGCTGAGCTATAGGATCGTCATGATATCCGCTATTCTGACCAAAAGCTTGCTGAGGTGCAATCGGTTGTACCTTCAATTGCTGGTTCCAGTAGCCTCCAATCCCGTCGGGTGTGCCGTATGTCGCCATGAGAACACCATCGCCATTGAAACGTGTCTCCAAAAGGTCCCAGTGCAAGCCTTCATTGTCGGTAAACATACTGATCGTACCCTCATAACCAGGGGCAGTTTCCACGAAGAAAGGAGAAGCAGCGTAGGTATTCATGCTTTCAAAGTCAGAAACATTGCCGAAGTTGTTGGTCTGTCCGTTGTCTGGGAGAGTCGTCGGGTCAACCCCCTGGCCAAAAGGGGCGTTTCCGTCGATGGGTGGCATGCCCGCGAAACTCGTGTGGAATTCAATATCCTGCTCGGAACCAGGAAAGCCAATCGGGCCAAGATTAGCAGCCCCAGCGGAAAAGTTATCGAAGAATGAGTAGTCATCTTGACCGTTGCTAGACTGGAGCTCTTTGTCAACCTGGTGATCGCCACCAAACCCGGACTCGTCGACGACGGGAGATCTCACGACAGGGGGCGGCTCCGGAATTGGAGCCCCGCCGGATGGATCCATTATCCCTCGTTGCTGTGAAGTACTGAGCAACGGAGTATTTTTGATGGAAAATGGGGGTCTCGAAGCGAGAGAGTAATGGGCAGAGCTGGTGGGTGGGATGAATATTGGGCAAGTGAAGATTGTGCCAACGACGGGACACAGCCAAGATACCCCCAAAACCAACAGATCTTGGTGATTCTTGAGTGCTTCTGATGATGTTGATGATGGACAAAAGTAAGAAGAGCTTGGTCTCCCTTGGTGTGTGGAAGAAGCTGATAAAGTGATGGAGCTCAGTGAGTATGGTGAGGGTGAAGAGAAGCGAGAAGAAGAGAGATAAGTGGAAAGTGGGAAAGTTTTGGGGGGTTTTCCAGGCTCAAGGTGAATGGAAGAATCTTTATGGGAGACCCCACGAAAAGTCATGTGCTCTCGCCTTTAGAGCAGAGAAGAGAACTAGACTCAAGAAGGCGGGTGCCCTCGACCTTTGAAGCTATTCGAGGCGAGAGCTATCCCTCGAGAACATCTTGATAAGGCGGGTGCCCCTGAGGAGGGAGACGGGAACATCAGGTCAGAGGCTCCGCAAAAAGTCACTGAGGGCTGACCCCTCTTCGTGATGATGGGAACTTACTTGACAAGGTGAGTGCTCCTATTCTTGGTGGCTCTTCATGGCGAGAGCTATCACTTGATGGTTCCCTGATGAAGCCATGGCCTTTGATGGGGAGCTCCTTGTCATCTGTCCATTATCTCCTAGAGACATGGTGTAGCTTTGAGTCGGTTCTGCCTCAAAGAAGGGGAGCCTTTGTGCTCAAGGGTGTGGGCAGTGCATCATCTGTGTATATCTTGTTGAGGGTATCATCAGAGAGGATGCGGCGAGAGATCTGACACCAAGAACAATGTGAACTAGATGTCAACTCCAGATAAGCCCTGGTTGACTTTGGTATGATTTCCTTGCTCAGCAAAGACACTTTCAAATGTTTGCAATTTAGGCGAGTGCCTCTGAAAGAAAAGGAGTCTAGCGCCTTCCAGGCAGTTCCCTCTCGACAATCTTTGCCCCGTCACAGATCTGTTGTGGTCTGTCAAGGCGAGAGCTACACGCAGAAGCTTTTGTTTGACAACATGAGAGCTTTCAATGGCAGAAGAAGAGGCAATTCAAGAGGGAATTCTCAACTTGAATGGAGACTCTCATTGTTGAAGGTGTGGCCAGCGCAGTCATGTTTGTTCGACGAGAACTAGAACTGGCCGAGTGTCAAAAACACTCAAGACTTATTGGCTCTAGTACCTCAGTCAGTGTACACATGGATGGGAACACTCAACATCTCAAGGAAAACCATTGGCCGTCGTCTAAGCATGACTGTGGGAGATGAGGCCTAGTTATCTCGAGGCTCGCTGGCATTGGTATCTAAGAAATTTCAGTACATACTGGAGTATACCGTCGTAAGTGACCACAAACTTGGACATAGTTCTTCCGAAAAAGTAGGTCCTATCTTGCAAATGTTCCCGGTGTTCTACCCGAGAGGGCGAATCAGTCCAACTTTTCAAGCTCACCAAGTGATGGATAAAAGAGAGGGACGGAGGATCTGTTAACAGTTGAGGTCTGGTCTACCCATCCCATCAGGCGTTGCCAGCGATGGGTGACTGACGAAGGCGATCAATCCTTCATACGAGACCAATGATATGAGATATCTAGAGGCATAGAGCCACGACATAACGTACACGGAGACAAGCTGAAGGGAACTAGCCCGCTAGCTCAAACGAAAGAAGCCCTCGTGTGTCATGTCCAACTTTGGCACAGCGTATCATCATAGTCATACTTATAGTTATGTGGTAGGTGCTATAAGGGGATTGAGTTGTTCTCCGATAGATGGAAGCCAGAAGTAGCTTGACACACGGTGATGGTAATTTACAGAATTATTCATCCAAGACAATATCATATCTGCTTAACATATGGCGCTTGATGTGCCGTGGGAGTAGTCTTGCATGGCAGGATGGACATAATGAAGATCACCCTAGAGCAAAGGTTAAAAAAAAAGAGGCAAAGGAGGATGAGAGTGACGATATTTTGGCAATAAACTGAAATCGACCCGCATGACCGTACTCCAGGCACGCTTAGACCTCGGTCAAGAGCTCTATTCTCTCGATTACTCACAGTTGAAATGGGAAGAGAAACGAAGAACTTAAGAGAAGTGTATGCGTACGTACCTGAAGTCCGGTCATCCAATTCTTCAAAGGTCCGATCCCATCCTCTCAGACTACTTACTGCATGTTGAAAAACGTCCGAAACGCCATGAGAGCTGCGGCCTGCAATGTTTTGCAGCAGAGATCGAGCACTTGCCCCGGTCTGGATCGTTGTACTTAAGATAAATGTGCGATGACTACTTATTCATATGAAAGGCATGGCATGCTGCGCAGTGAATTCGTCCGCAATTCAGAGACCTGAAGTCGAAACAAGATAAGCCCCATGGGCAACGACATACCTGATTGGCCATGGCATCGCAAGAGGATTCTATGTCATGTGACCCCACACCAAGCACACCTGAATTAGTCATCACAAGCCGCCTCCGCCGGTGGCCGACGGCATCCATGGTCCATCTACCCTTCCGTAATTGGTTCGCGACCCAGGTGCAGCTGAAGGGCGTATTGATTAGCGGTGACGAGGACCTCAGTCTTCAGCTATTCAGGTTCGTCAACGGCTTTAGTCCTCATTCGACTTGCCGGGGCTCTACACGAGGTCCAGCCTTGGCACTTTACCCATTTCGCTCGCGTCCACTTTCCGTCCTCACTCCGCCTCTCGTCTAAGCCTCGTTCTTCAGACTTCCTATAATCTTGTGTCTTTGTTCACTTTCATTAGAGTTGAGTATCCAAGTGACAGTACGCTCGCAACCAATTTCAACGCCCATAACCTTCAAAATGGGTTCTGAACTCGTCTCAACCGATGCCAAGAACAAGTTGGAGGACTTGTCTGGCATCACGATCCTGCCTGGTCAAAATCCATATGAGGCCTTTATCAAAGCTTGCAATGATAACCCAGTAAAGTTCAACCTCCATGCAAGCCTTCAGTAAAAGTATTCGATTCTGATGAGATTCAAATTTGTAGACAGAGATCCAGGCTCTCTACCAAGCTCACAGAACAAAGAGAAATGAGCAACAGAAGCAAAAGTTCATTGCTTCTGACTATAAGGAGCTCATTATTGACCCTTTCCTCCTGAGACTGGAAAACCCGGAAATGGAGCCGGGCTTCCAGGACCCTCGTAATTGCTTGGTCTTTTGGGCGCGACCACCGGATCACATTGTACAACTTTCGGCTCATTTGCAGTCTTTGCTCAAGAAGGCCGCACCGAGTGAGACCACCTTAACAGTGCATTGATGAGAGATATCAGAGACTCCTTGACTAACACGGTCACTCTCCAAGGTATCTGGCTTATGCCCCGTCACCGAATGCACCTTACAACTCTAGAGGTAACGCACTCCAAGACGCCCGAAGAGATCATCACTCTCACGGATAACATGCGCACCGCGATTCCCTACATCACGGACTACACCTACTCCCACAGGTCCCGTCTTGTAAGGCCCATGATCTCCTATGACCTCTCCGCCTTCGCCGTCTCCTTCCTCCCGGCCTCTGGCGAGCCGCCCCTGAGTCCGCCCCCAGCGCCGACCGCCCAGCAACAGGCCGTCGTGCAAGGGGACGAATACACGTACCACCACCTCCGCCGCGACATCTTCACCCTCGCGCAGTCGACTGGCGTGCAGATCGAGTCGCGGTATCAGGTGCCGAGCGCGCACATCACGCTAGGCCGGTACCTTACGGAGAAGGACCACGACACACCCGAGGCGAGGAAGAAGTGGGTTGAGGCCATTGATGAGATCAACGC